TTGATTTTAGAAAGACTCCAACCCTCACAGCCCACAGATTACATCTGTGCTGCCCATCCTGCCTAAGATCCTTCCACCCCTCATTTCACAGAATTTGAGTTGGGTTGAATTGTATTAAGTTTTCTCCAGGAAAAAAAAAAGGATACCTTCCTCATTCCCTAGCATGACTTTGAACTCAGCAAGCTCCCACACAGCTAGCATTGGTTGCTGCCTAAATTAAGAAAAAAAAGCTTTAAGGAGACTTTTTTTTACTTGGTTTTCACTGTGGCTGAGGTAGAGCTGAAGAGACGTCCTGGACAAACATTCTCGCTGACTTTGCTGATGAAAGGGTCAGGAATCTGTTGTTTCCCTATGAAAAGATCCCTATTTTATACCATTCTAGTTTGAAGTTAAGTCTGTGGAGAAATACTTCTTTTAAAATTAATTTTAATTTCCATGTTAGAAAAATAGTGCGGTCTTGCAGAAATGTACAATTCTGCTTTCTCTACCATCAGATTATATTAATTTTTTTACTTTGCTTTGGCATTTGCTTTTTGTTATAATGATGGACCTTGGTGCTTTCTTTCATTCTTTGGCTCTGAACATCCTTTGTCAGATCTGAGCTTTTCCTCGGCTGCATGGGTTGGGTTTAAATGGCTGTTAGGGAATGCAAGTGGGTACTTGTTCAATTCAGCCCTTTCCTCATGTTAATCCTGACATCGATGTCGGGTTCCTTTTGCATCATGGTGTGAAAAATTGAGAGTTGATGGAAACTCTTCTATAGTAAGGAATGTATGTGACAAAATACGCCGGCTTGCCGAGGGCAAATTGAAGCTGAAGTAGCTGCTCTTGGCAGTGTTTTCTTAATTACAATTGTCAGCTAACTTTCTTGGCTAACAGCACAGCATTTGTCTGCGAAGTATTCGTTCAATTTAAAAAGCTAGAATGGCTTTTATTCTGTGAAAGATGTATCTGTACCTTGTGATTGTTTCATGGATCCACTACCAATAGTGAAAATGAGACAATGGCATCTGTTAGATAGATAGAGAGCCATGAAAATGCTTGTTGGACTTCAAGCCAGAATTCCATCATGGTCTTGGCAAACCAAGTGCATCGTACAGATCTTCCACATATTACATGAAATAGTTCCTAATAATTAGATCCTTGCGCATGTTCCTCAGAGAGGGACTGAGAGCCTGGTATGTTTGTGATCATGGGTCAGGAATGGCAGCACCAAGATCTAACCTAAAGACGAAGAGGCATTTTTTTCAACTGGCTAAGAAAACCATTCCTACTTTCACTGTGCATTCCTTGCAAAGAAGAATTAACCACCTTCTCCTAATTACTGTAGACAAGGCCTTAAAAGATGTTGTTCCTCAGAGGTCTGCACATTTGATATGTGAGAGAGCAATATTAACAGAGCTTTCCTTGTTGGTCTTCTAAAGGGACTTCATTGTTAGGAAAGCAATCAATGGAAAGGGTAGGCACCACGAGCTAAATCAGTATTCAAGGAATATTACGGGTGCTACAGTTAAAGTAGGTAATGTTTCCAAGTGAAAGCTGAGATGTGAACCTTCTCAGATGATTTTATATGGTGACAATACCAACACAGGGTATAACTGAACGCAACCCTCAGAAAATATGCAGGTAATTATTAGAGGAAACCCATTCTTTAGTTTAAATTATAACATTATTGTAAGATTGCATTCTAATACTTTACACAAACGGCAATATGAAAAATACCACCAGTGCCCTAAATGTCAGCTGCAGGGTTTATTTTCCCAGAGAATTACTGTTGTGCTAGCACACATGCTTGCAGACATCTGCATGCCATTTTCATTCGCCTAGGTTATAAGAAATTTTGATTTGTAATACCATTTGAGAAGAACAGCGCTAAACAAAAAAATGGCTCCACTTTTCCTAATCTGCTGTATCAGCTACTTGGAAATAAGAAAAATGTCTTAATTTATCTTTCAGTCTGTCCCATTTCCTCCTGCCCTTCCACCTCTTGTGTTGGAGTAGCTGCCCCTCACTACATTCTGGAATGTCGTGGCTGTCCTCCTCTACCTCCTTCTCCTTCTCTTTAACCTCTTTCTCCTTCTCTTCTACCACTCAGCCAAGGCTGCATCTCCTCTGTCAGTCCTCTCCCCCAACCCAAGATTGCCCAGACAGTGGTAACATGAGCACCTCTGTGTCATTGCTGCTACCGTCTTTTCAGCTCCAAAACAGGTCAGCTGGCGTGTCAACTTCTTATCCTTCCTCTGGAGGGACGCCATAGCTGAATGCAGGAGAAGAGGCGTTGACAGCTGCTACAGGTCTTCATGTGAGCTCTAGACAATTGCATTTGTGACTGCAGGATGATGAAAGGAGGCCCACATGTCTATAAGATATTTTCCTTCTCTTTCCTAATTTTTATCAAGGTGGAATTATCCTCACTGAGGACATATTCCCTAAAACTGAGTAGCTGAAGTGTTTCAGTTACAGTGCTGAATGCAGCACAGAGGAGAAGCACAGATGTAACCAGGCCTCACAAAATTGACCAAATAGTGTCTCAGCTGCAGCTTCCAGTACTCTCTCCATTCCTCGCATCAGTTACCCAATCCAGCAGAGTTCAGCTTGTCTCCTTCCCCATCCTCCTAGAAGCTGACAGTAGGTACTGCCTGCCTCCTAGAGTGATGCTTTGTCATCCACCAGGAGGGTGGAATGAGCAGAGTTGCTGCAAACCAGATAAGGCTTTTTGGTTGGCTTCAAAACAGTAACAACGTTTTCAGCAAAAATGATGGCAGGGTGATTTTTCTCTATTCCTTCACGATCCTACAGCCTGACTCATTCTCTCTTACAGGGCTTTTTGCCATGTGGGGCTCCCAGGGACAAAAGAGCTGCCGTGGTGCAATTTAATTCCATGCTGAAATTTGCTGTTCGGAGGAGATGACATTTCAAAGCTGAGCTCTGAATCACAGCCTTTGCTAACCAGCCTTTCATTAAAGGGCTCTGTGGCATTTTTACATGGCCCTGCTCAGCACTCAGCCCTGCTGGGCACAGGGATTTTACTTGCTCTCCCAAACTGTTTGTAGCCTGACTTCTTTTATCTCAAATGAGGCAAAGTAGAGGATTTCATGCTTCCTTTGAGCTAGGAGATATCTGTCCTTGTGGCTTTATATATGTGCACATGTAAATATATTTACACACGCTGTACAAAAATGTATTCATGTGCAGTGACAGGTGGTGCTGGCAACACCTGTTGCTGGGGTCACTCAACACTCCAGTTATAAAACCCTAATTTTAGTTGCTTATAACTTTTGTCAAACTTAAACATTTGGGCTGAAATGTTATGTGCCAGGTGTCTGCCTTAGGCTAATTTGGGGGCTGGGGAGAGGAATTTTTCAGCAAAAAAAAAAACATTACTGCCAGTTTGGGGAGCAGAGACGAAGGCACTGATTTGCCCATACTGAAGGCAAACTGTTGCTGATTGAGATGCTCCAGCAGCTTCCCTGGTTTGATGCCAAAAGTTGCCAATGGGGTTCCCCTGCTGCTGGACATATCTTTTCCTACTGTTACAGTACTTTGCAGTTTGGGTGAGAATGCACCCCATTTTGGCTGGGTTACAGGCCTATGAACATGCTTGGTGGAAGGTTGTGGGCTGCTGCCCTTCAGGCTGCCTCTATTGTGTCCCGTTCCCAAAGGCAGCACTGGGACCATGCACATGCAAGAGGCCCATGGAGCAGCCCAGAGCCTGAGCACAAAGCAGGGAAAATGTGTTAGGAAAGATTTCTTCTCAGGAAGAGTGGTGAGGCAGTGGCACAGGTTGCCCAGGGAGGTGGTGCAGACACCGTCCCTGGAGGTGTTCAGAAAAGGTAGAGATTCAGCATTGAAGAATGTGCTTAGTGGGCACAGTGAGGATGGGAGGACAGCTGGACTAGATAATCTTGGAGGTCTTTTACAGCCTTAATGATTTTGTGATTCAGTAATTCAGGCTGCATCTGGTGGCATCAGTCCCGAGAGCAAACAAAGCAGCTCCGCTTGTGCTTACCCAGCATCAGAAAGCTGGGTAAGGAATGGCTGGCCGAAGTCCAGAGGAGCGGTGATGGTGGAAGGGAGCAGTGAGAGCAGTAGGAGTGAAGGACACAAGATTTTAGGATCTCTATGAGGAGAAATGCTGAGGAAACAGAGGGGACCCGAGGAACAGAGGAGCACAGGCCACGGGCTTTATGTGGCTGCAGTTGCAGCAGCTGAAACGTGCCGCTGGTAACATATCACAGCTCTGCAGCCAGGTGATTGCACAGGAGGATGACCTCGTGCTGCACCAGTGCTCTCCCTGCATGAGTGTATAGGCTTGAACCTACTGTTAGGCACTTGTCATAAACCATAGAATGGTTTGGGTTGGAAGGGCCTTTGCAGCACACCCAGTCCCACTCTCCTTCCACCCACCAGCCCAGGCTGCCCCAGGCACATCCAACCTGGCCTTGAGCTTCTCCAGGGATGGGGGACCCACAGTTCTCTGGGAAAACAGAAATTAAGAGCCTGTATGGTTTCATCCTTATGCTGTTTCAGGAGGAAGAGTTGTTCAATTTACTTCTGCTTGGTAACATCAAATTTTTCTTGACTTTTTCTGGTATTTCTTAGCATCTGAATACACAGTCTGCACTGGAAGGCTTCTTATGTGTGCAGACAAATCCTTTTGTAAATAATACAACCATTTCTTACCGTATAATCTTACTTTGGAATCTGTACTGCATTGGTAGTCCACAGAATGCAAAATCACACCCATGAATTAGTCATAGATACCGAGGTGGTTTGTGATTTCTCTGAGGTTGAAGAGCATTTGGACAGATTGCTCGTATTATTTTGAAGTTGTCCTTTCTGGATCATTGTGGAAATTAGAAACAAACTGCCTGCTGCAAAATATTCTGTTTCGTATTACTTACCACTTTCCCATAAAAATCTGAAGAAATGCCACAGAACCTGATCAAAGTTTAAAGTCAGACTTTGTTATTGAATTATGATGATTTTTTTTATTGTAGGTAAAAGCTCGGCCAAGAAACTGACAAAAAAGGTAAGCAAAATGTTCCTTTCGTTCTTCAAAAGAACTTGCATTCTTTCTGTTTCTCAACCAAAAAAGACTTCTTTTTCTAAACTGGTTTTCTTGTTTGTGTCTCTAAAGGAGGTGGATGCTGCACTGCTGTGTGTTACAAAAGCTAAACCAGGACCGACCTTTTTTAGAGAGCTTGGTGATAAAGGTAACGAGATTCTTTTGATACCGAGAAACACATCTTGTTTTTTATCTCATCAGATAGTATGAATTGAATCTAGTTTTAAAGACAGTTGCATGGATTTGACTTCGTCCCCATCTCACCAGCTGCTGCCACCTTGGCATGTCTCGGTTACGAGGAGGAGGCAGGAGGGAGAGCTGGGGGCTGAGAGCCTCCTGGAGAAATTAGAAAGCTGACTTAGAGAAGAGGAAGAGGCTAAAAGGGTACAAAGTGGACTTATAAGGCTTGTTAATAAACTGCTGTTTCATTATATAACTTAAATGCGTGGAAGCAAAGAAAAGAAGAAAATTTGTATCTGATTATGTAAAGTGTCCTCCCTGGTACCAGGGGCAGTGACAGTTGTTTCTGCTTCATTGGGAGCTCAGTGCTGCCCCACAAGAGCAGTGTGCTTGGGTTTCTTTTCACCCAGCAGTTCCACCTTACAGCTGGCAACACAGGAAGAGAAAACGCTGAGGGCTGGGATATTGTCTGTGAAACAAGGGGAATTAAAAACACCAAATAAACACCTCATTAACATAAATTAATTGAAGGGAGGGAAAACAAACAAGAGGATCAAGGAAAACAAATAAATGAGTAATTAACCATTTCATCAGTAACAAAGACTGAATTCCCCAGACTAATGAGAAGGACTGGCAGTGTCTATTCACGAAGTGCATGGTAGAGGTCAGCCCACACCCCTTGCTCCATGGACGTGGCTCTTTTTTCTGTGTAATGCAGAGGCTGTGAGCATCCCCTGCCTGCAGCCCTGTCACCTCTCTGAACAAGTTCACCATTTCTTTCCAATCCTGGGGAAGTCTGTTTCATTCTGAATATCTACCTCCTGTCTTTTCAAATTACTATTTGTTATCTTCTTTCCCAGGACAGGATTTAAGGGGATTCCCAGCATTTAATTCTTGGATATTGTTTCCCTATCACTGCTTTCTTAAGGCTTTTCTTTTTGTAGTGGTTCACAGCACAAATCCCTAACACGTTCTGCCTGGGAAAATCAGGAATCCACCAAGAGAAAGCGAGAACATAGCAAAGCAGCAGAGCCCCCTGGCACTGGACCACGCCAGCTGGCTGCTTGGGGCTGCTGGGATGTCTTTTCTGTCCTGGGACCACCAGCCTCCTCTCATTTAGCTCTGTGGATCCTCATCCTTTGCCCTTCAAGGATCTGGTAGGAATTGGAGATGATGCAGAAACACACAATGCTGTCATCTCTATGACTTTACAGCACATGCACTTTTTGGTCATGATCTCTCTGTACTGACATTGACACTTTTGTCTTCAGATCCAGCTATAAATATTTATGTATTAAATACCACTTTTACACGTACCAAAATAATGAATCTACACCTGTTCCGTGGTTTAGCTGAGATTATTTTAACTACCATCAGATTCTTTTTTAAATATCAAGTGGAGGGAGCGCTCTCAGTCCAGTTTGTAAAGTGTAAAGCTGGGGAACTCTGCCTCCTAGTGGCTGTTTTAAAATGTACACCATCTTTTGTGTATATTAATGATTTGTTCGGTAGTGAGCATATCGTCCTGTCAGTATTTGCTATAAAACCTGAGGGTAGAGATTTCCAAGGAGGCACAGGAAAGCTTCATGTAGTCTTAGAAAATTATAAAGTTTTGCCAATGCTAAATGAAAATACTTGGCTGCAAGTCTGCTGAGTCATTCAACAGCAGGTGAAGCTTTAACTTGGATGTGAATGCAATTTGCTTTGCTATTTTTTTAATGTTCCACTGCATCTTTTAAATGTAAAATTTGATTAACTTTGTAATGATTACTGCGCAATGAAAATTACTGAACTGTCTAATTTACTTTATGGTTAAGGTAAGTTGGCAATTCACTGCAGACAGTGATAGAACAAAAAGATCAAATGAGGAATTTTTATGGAAATCAAACCATGGGTCAAAAGAAATTATATCTCAAGTGATTTTGGTATAATCAGCCTGCAAAAAATATTGAACGTGCTATGGATTGACTTTAAGATACTGAGGCTTTAAAGAACAATCAAAAGACAGTTTTCACGTGTCTTCATTTCTTGTACCTTTTTGCCTGTTTCCCTCTAGTGACTTCCCACTGAGCTTAAGGTAATGGAATGAAAACTGCCCTTCCATTTCTTGCAAGTCCCTCTCCTTGCAGCCCTCTGCAGTGATTGGTGCCATTGCTCTCCTCCTTTAAGCCATGAGCACGGTTGTCTTTATCAAAAGTTTTGAAATTGCTTTAAAATAGGAGAGGGTAGATTTAGACTAGACATTAGGAAGAAATGCTTTACTCTGAGAATGGTGAGACACTGGCACAGGTTCCCAGAGAGGCTGTGAATCCCCCTCCCTGGAAGCATTCAAGGCCAGGCTGGACGAGGCTTTGAGCAACCTGGTCTAGAGGGAGGTGTCCCTGCCTATAGCAGGGGGTTGGAACTAGATGATCTTAAAGTTATTATAGTTGTTATTATTATTTTATCTGCCATGTCCATATCCTTTCTAACGCTTTGCTAAAAATGTTTTTTGTTGTTCATCTACTAAGTACATTATCTCCTATTGCATATCTCAGCAACAAGGGGCCTCCTTTTGCTCTGCTGAGCAGTAGCACTACATTTCCGCCTTCCAGGTCTGCCATGAGCAGTAGCTGTGCAGAACAGCTGAGAGGCAGACACCCCATCCACTTGGCCAGCGATTGTCATTGACAGTTGGACTACATGATCTTTGTGGTCTTTTCCAACCACAATGGTTCAATGATCCCTTGCTCATAAAATCTTCAGATGGAAATCTCTGTGCCAAGTCCACAGTTATCCAAGCCTAGGAAGTGTTTTCTCTATCCACTTAAAAAGTTATCTCCTTGTCTTCCCTTATCTTCTTCTTTTTTAACTGCATTTGCTGTGACATGTATAAAACAAAACTAGGGAGCAGTGTGTCGCTGCTTGATTTTTTTCCTCTCCTATTTATTTCTGTCCATTTTCTATCTCATCTTAAGTGTGTAGCATAAAAAAATGGGGTAAGATCTCTGTTTCCGATTATTTGATTTTGAATTTGTAGAAGTCTTGGGCACTGTCTAGGAACAAGATAGCAAGTTTTACAGGAATGCAAATAATTTATATCCTCGCAATGGCCATATTAAGTCTGTTGGCAACACATGAGAATCATAGAATCACAGAATCATAGTATTGCTCAGGTTGAAAAAGACCTTAATGATCACCAAGTCCAACCGCAACCTGACCATCCTACCTCAACTCTAACAATGCTCCGCTAAGTCATGTCCCTGAGCACCACATCCAAATGGTTTTTAAACACATCCAGGGATGGTGACTCAACCACCTCCCTGGGCAGCCTATTGCAGTGCTTAACAACCCTTCCTGTAAAGAAGTTTTTCCTGATATCCAACCTAAACTTACCCTGGCGCAACTTGGGTCCATTTCCCCTCGTCCTGTCACCTGTCACCAGTGAGAAGAGACCAGCCCCACTCTTGCTGTAAGCACCTTTCAGGTATTAGAAGAGAGCAATAATGTCTCCCCTCAGCCTTCTCTTCCCCTGACTAAACAGCCCTACGACTTGTAAGCAAAGCTAAACATTTGAGATGACAATGATTTTATGTTTCTGTGCAAGGTATTTTTTATTTGCACAGTGCATTGTGTGATTGCAGTACTGTGCTGAGTTACACATGGTGCATGCTGGAAAGTAGAGTGAATGAATAGCCCTATTTTGATGGAGAGGAAAGCTGGAGCTCAGATGCAGAGTGAGTCGGCATTGGGATCAGCGTCAGGCCTGGCTTTGGAGATCTGTTCTCAGATTTTCAGACCGTTGTTTCCAGCAGCCCAATATTCCTAAACTCTGGAAGTTAAAGTAAGTCACTGTCTGAGGCCAAATACAAATGTTGTCAGCTCAGAACAGCAATTTATCAGAAGTTAATTGTCTATCGGTGAAGCTTAAGTGGATTCTTTATCTATCAATTAACTCTATATAAATTATTATAAATAGTTTATCTTTACACAGATGGGCACGTTTGAACTTCATTATTTTAAGCAGCTTCAGCATTACACAATGTTTAGCTCAGGCGTTAAAAGTAGCTCGGTTATTTTGAAAAGTGATTTATAGAAAAGCCCTTTACATTTTTTCTCCCAACGTTATTGCAGTGCAGATGGTTCAGATTGTGCTGCTCAGCCACCCTCGTTGCGCGCTCTATCTTTAGCTTCTACGCTCTATTTTGACGCTATCGCATCTCTGTGTTTGTTCAGGCTTTTTGCTTAAGGCGGTATTTCAAAGGAAAACACTGGAATTTTCCTTCAAAAGGGGGGAAAATACTTTCACCTTGTAGAAAGGACATGTTCCTATTTAAAATAAAAAAAAAAAAAGAAGCCTCTGTTGGCAGGCAGCCCAGCCGCGCTATCGGCGCAATCTCTTAGCTTGGCAGCTCTGCATGCTGCCATGTTCCCCATGGGAAGCTGCTCCCCTCGTGGCCCGGCTGCCAGGGGATGGAGCACTTTGATCCATCCAGGCAGCGCTGAGTGCTTCTCCTCCCGGGTACTAAATGTGACAAAGCACTCCGAATTTATTTGCCTTTTCTATAAACACTGAATGTTTGCAGTGCGAATGCAGAGATTTAGTGCAGGCCTGTTGTTGATACCAAATAAACCCGACTCTCCCGATGAGATGGGGACATTGATGAGTCTCCGGATAGGGAATTTTACCTTCGGAACACTAAAAAAAGAAGTAAAACTTTATTAAATAATTATGAGGCTTACTTCGGTAACCTATTTTAAATGATGTTGAACTGCAATTTTCATGTTTATGGGATCTGATCTTTCAAATCTCATTATAGGGATTTATATTTTCTGTGAGTCATATTTTAACTGTTTAATTTCAGGGCTGATATCTTATGCGGAGTACCTGTTTTTGCTGACAATCCTTACAAGTAAGTGTTACATACTTAAAATACGTATGCATCGCTACTCAGCTTTTGATGTCTTTCCGGAAACTTTTTCTGATACTTTTTAACTAAATTTCTGTGCTGTAGTTTAAGAAACTTGAATATAGAGTGATAAGGCAGTTAAGTAAATGGCTGTAACTTTGGTTGATCGCTGCTTAGCTCCATAGTGTCGTTGCTGTTCCATAGCACCATGTCAGAAATCTGAGCAAGCCCCACGCTGCAGGCTCAGGAATGTCCTTCAAGAGTCGTTGCAAAATGGGAAGAGTTGGACATAGGATCACATAAGGAGGGGAAGAACTCAGTGAGGGGAGGTAAATAATTTCTCACCTGCACAGTGGTTTCAGTCATTTTGCACAGTGAGATGTTAGCTTTAAAGTTCATGCATCAGTGTAAAGAACTATTGCAGTGTCTGAAAGGTTGTTGTTTTTTATCTATATGCTCAGATACGTAATGAGTGACATGCAGAAGCAGCACGTCAGCACATGTTTTTTTGTCTGACTTCTTTCTCCTCTCTTCGTTTCTCTTCCTGTTGACTATTTCCCCATGTATTTTACATGTACTTCCTCCTCCTCCTTTACCTCCTTCCCCTTTCTATCTCAGACACTTTTTAAAGAACATGTTGTTTGGTAACCTCACAGAGTCTCCATCCACTTGAGCTAAGAGATGTCACTCTCATGTTTTGTCATGGAAGTGGAGAGGTTTGGGCAACTTCAGCAGGGCTCAGAGCTGAACCCATTGCCTGTGCTTGCAGACAGTGTCACCCTGCTGCATAACACCACATGAAATAAAATGCTTTATCTGCAAACAGCAAGCATTTTTTGCTTGTGGGTAGAACTGATCTTGGATTTTCTAGGTTTCCTCACTCATAGTTACTCTCTGCTGTTCCTGCCACCTCCCCATGCTATTCTGATGAAGTGCAAGTGAAGCTGGAAGATACCTAGATTTGAAATAAAATGCATACAACAAATGTTGTGCAGAAAGACCATGGTGGTAAAATAGCACACATGTCCATGTATCCAAGTCCTGTCTCACTTACACAGGTCTGACATCTTAAGCAAGTGACAAAACCAAGCATAATGAGTCTTGTGATATCAAGGGATGAGGAGGAGAGAAGGAATTAGCCACACTTATCCCAACGGGCTCATTACTTCCTTGGCCACAGGTTCATTGCATGAGATTGAACAATATGGCAAATGTTCCTTGCTCTAGAAATGCACTGTCTCAAGGTCCAGCACCAACCACTGGCAGTGTATACAGTCTCTAGAGAGCAGAGAAGTTATGTGAAGTTTTAACAGACACTGACTGCTGGTGTACAGCAGTTGGGCCATTCAGCCCTTTTACAGCATATATCATTTCTCAGCAGGAAAGCATCCCTGCCAGCAACACAGCAAGAAGAGTGATTAGGTTGGACATGAGGAAAAACTTCTTCTCTGAAAGAGTGGTCAAGCGCAGGAACAGGCTGCCCCAGAAGGCTGTGGAGTTACCTGCCCTGGAGGTGTTTAAGAAATGTTTAGATGTAGTATTGAGGAGGGTGATTTAATGGGAAATACTGATGGTAGGTGGACAGTTGGACTGGATGATCTTGGAGGTCTTTTCCAACCTTGATGATTCTATGATTCTGTGATCTCCTAGGGAACCTCAACCAGTACATGATATCACATAGTATATATATCACAGACATAGTCCATTTGCCATACAAATATACTGTTTCACCTTATTGGATGAAACAATTAGAAAATTGAAGCAAATTGTTTCTCTGCTCTAAGGAATCAAAAGTTATTTTTCACAGGATTTATATATCAGTGAACTGAACTGTAAGAACAGAGGCACATTTTGATGCAGGATGTCCAGTTACGCAGAGGCCTATAGAATCACAGAATCATTAAGGTTGGAAAAAAACAGTAAGATCATCCAGTCCAACCATCAGCCCATTCCCACCATGCCCACTAACCATGGCCCTCAGTGCCACATCTCCATGGTTCTTGAACACCTCCAGGGACAGTGACTGCCCCACCTTCCCACCTCCCTGAGCAGCCTATGCCACTGCCTCAGAGAAGAAGTTTTTCCTAATATCCAACCTATCATACAGGGCTGTTTGAAAGTGAATGTCAGCAATTGTTGGTGCCTCATTGCCTAACAATTATGCCATGTCACTCAGACCTCAGCCAAATGACCTTCCTGGAGTGGGAATTAATGCAAGATTTCTTAAAACAGACAAATTAATACTTAAATGACTTCTTCTGAATCACCAGTAGAATGGGGAAACCAGAAAAGTGACTCCTGGCTTCAGAATGCTGCTGGCCAGCCCATGCTGTCCATCGTATAAAAGCAGCATCTGTAGCACTGAACCTCCAAATATAATTCTGTGGGAAACAAAGGCTTCATTTTGCCCACTGTGATCCCCTTTCTCTTTTCTGCATTCCATGTATCATCATCGCCTTTTTTCTTTCAGTGATGTATTGGATTTCATTTTCAGCAATTGGTTAATGGAGCTTCTGGTAAAGCCCTGCCTGCTGAACAGGCCCAGGAACTGAAATTGTCACCATGACTAAAAGCATTGCTCCAATTAGCCAGTCACCAAAGTTGACAGTTTGGTCAAAGCAGGAATGACTTCAGGGGAAGCACCTATGTATAACCTGCACTCACAGCTAAGATGAAGCTCTTGGGCTCAGATTTTGGAATTTTGCCTGATTCTAATTAAATACAAATATATCTGAAGTAGTCTTTGAACTACGCTTATTTTACAAACGCATACCTTTGAGGTTACATCATATCAGATAAGTATGTCATCTGAACATTATAAGCAGCTTTAGGTCCTATATATTGAGTAACAGCTTTCTTATCTGAAAACTGCAACACAGATGGTATGAATTACTGTTAAATACATCAATTACTTTTATTCTCTGAATACGTTATAGGATAGACTCTTCTTGCTTTAGTAGTAGTAACACAAATCTAGAGTGTGGCATTTCCACAGAAAAGAAGCCCGTTTTGATTATTATGGCCCAGTTGCCAGGGAAAGGCTCTGCTATGCAGATTGCAGTGGTATTTATAAACTATCCTTACATCACAAGGTTGCTTCACAGAGGATGTTAATTGGCAGCTGAAGATAAAGTTATTTCTAAAATGTAAAAATAGTTCTTTGTTTAACCATCTTGCTATCACTTTAAAAAGAAGAGGCTATTTCTGGAACTTCTTGCCTTTTCAGGAAGACTCTCTAAACAGAAGCAAGACTTAAAGCTTTACAGGGTAGAACTGGAAGAATGTGCTTCCAAAATAAAAGAAAATCTCTGGAGGCATTAGTAATTGTAGAGATACTGCTTCACTGCCCTCATGAGTCCAACATTGCTCTTGGAAACATGAATGTATGCTGGAGAAGATAACTCTGTGGCTTTCACATTAATGCCTGACATGACTGTGCTGTGGAATTAATTCACCTGCTCCAGAAATGACTGGGCTAAGTGCTGGCTACTGCAGCGAGCCAGTGAGTAAATATATTTCAGCAGCACACTACTCCTGTGTGGGCTTGGTAATGAGCGAGGTCACCTCGTGTAAGCAAAGACAGAGCAGGCAACTGTGGGAAGGAGCTCAAAACACACAGTGTTTTTACAGCGCCTGCAAAACTCAGAACTCATTAAATGTTCATGTTGAAAAGAAACATCCACTGGGTGAAGGAAATGCAGAGTAACGTTCTATAAAATTCCCAAAAAATCAGCTGAATGGGAGGTGTACCAATATGCTTTAGCAAAGAAAAGAATGCCAGAAGGAGGAGTTTATTATGTCTCAGTAACAATGGAGTTGTTTGTTTAGGGAGGTTGGAGAAGAGAATGGACCAACACCATGGGAATAGGAACTGAGAGAACGTGGAGTTGTTACGAGACCAGTCTGTCTTCTGGACTAGTGAAGGCTGAGAATAGTGGCATGCAGCAACATGTGGAAGAAGTGCTGGAGAAAGACCCTATCTCTTTCACCCAGTATGGGGGGTAATTAATGGTCTCTCAAGGCACTTTCCAGTATTCTCAGCCAAAAATAGCTCCAAACAGGGGGTAAAGATTTCAGAAGTGAGCGAGGATTACAGAGAAATCTGTAGATGCTATCTATGAAAGACCAGGACAGTAGGACAACATTTTCACAGTCTTTGGGAGCAGGTGGACATCTGTGGCTGTATTTAGGCACTGCCAGCATTTGTTGCTTTGCTACTGCTTTAGCAAGAAGGTATTTGTCTTATTTAAAAGTTTGTTTGTATTGGAGGGGGTACACGTTGCTTACTGGAAATACGATGTATGTGCACAGCAATGTCAAACAGAATCTGTAGGCAACATTTCCTTTAGATTAAATATTTCTGTACTAGTGTAACTGTGTGTGCATGAGTGTGTGTGTGTGTGTGTGTGTGTGTGTGTGTGTGTATGTCATAAAGTTTTTTCACTCTTTGTTGCAGAACCCCAGACTGGATTTCAGATTGCTTTTAAAATGTTAGATACGGATGGCAATGAGCAAGTTGAAAAGAAAGAATTTTTTAAGGTATGTGTCTTCTCATGCTTATTGATTTTAAAGGTCATAAACAGTGGGATAGGTTCTATTTGTTAAATGAAGATTCATTAAAATCTTCAAGCCCATTTTTCCATCCAATCTGTTTGCTAGATCACGTTTGCTAGAATATGTTGTATGAAAGGAGTACGTAGCAAAGCATTGCTTTGTATTACTTAAAACTGTCTTGAACAGAGAGAAAAATGATGTGGTTTCAATCTTTTAAAATGCTTGTATAAGAACAGCTGAGATAGACTGCATGGAGAGTTTATTAGACAAACAGTAACAGGGTACAATTAGTATCTGCTTTTCATGTCTTGGTGGTAAAATTCTGTCTTCGTTGAACTTAAAACTCTTTTTGATAGCCTAGTGGTTGTTAACCTGCCTTCCCCTTTGAGGAATCCTGGAGTAGCTGCAGGGAAACACTGAGTAAATGTACTTTAATTGGTTATCCCATCTCTTCAAATAATGCTGCTACACTGATGAAGAGTGCAATAAATAATGGCAAGTGGTGGGTGAATTACAAACTTCTGTGCTTTGTTACTGTATTTTCAGGCAATGAAACATGGTATCAGGTTCCTGTGAACCCTTGAAAGTGCAGGTACTTGAAAATAATTCCTTCCATGCTTCATACTCTCAGGAAAAAAAAAATGTCCAGAAAATCTGCTTAGTAAAAACAAAGGGAAAGGAGGTGAACATTCAGCACAGAGAAAGTTAGCAGAACAGTAGCAGTTATGACAGCAGTGATTTCCACAGAATATTTGACTAAAATACTAGGAAAGTTATGTAAGGTGAAGGTATTGGAAAAGAGTAGTGAAAAAGCCATAATTATGGGCAGTCACTGTAAACAGTATGGACTAGAAAAACAAATTTCAGTGCTGCTGCATTTTCTTGCTTTTCTACCTCTCCTCCTCTCTACTTCTTGTCCATTTTTTACTCATCAGTGTAAAGCTACATTACTTAGTGATTATGGACTATAAATTCTTTGATGTAAGAACTTTGCCATTCTGTTTGCAAGACATCCATCATTCCGTGAGTTGTGCATATCTCAACTCTGATGTGTTAATGGATAACCAGGCACAAGACATGTCGTGAATCATTTGGGAAAGGGAGAAGGTAACAAGCAAACTCAAAAGTCATGCAGCACATGATGGTGCTATTTAGAGTTGTGTGGAAGGAGTGAGAGGTGCAGGATTTCCCAATGGATTCACTGCTCTTTCCCAACATCAAATAATATTCAGGAAAAGAGATACTGAAGGCAATTCTGTGCTTTGAAGGAGAGAGTTTCTCGTGTCCTCTATAACCTTTCCACTTCTATGTACATTTTCCTCCTTCCAAGGAGCAGACCTTTTCTCTCTCCTCTCTACATTTGTGTTCTCAAGCCAGTCTATTCATAATTTCTCATGCACAACTCTGTGGTAAAATCCAACATACAGGCGAGACTGCACCTTATGCCAGTACCAGGGCCCTGAATCACTACAGTTCGTGTTTTGAGGTGAGCATCTGCAAGGATGCATTGCTTTGCCCTGCAATTCCAGGATGAAGCAGATGGCAGAAACGGTATGTTCATAGACCTCAGATGCCATCCTCTTAATTAGCCCCTGCCTGAATGCAGAAAGTTATTTCTCAGTGCCTTATTATCTGTATCTTTGCAAAGACAGTAAGATACTGCCCAACACATTCACATGAGGCTTGACAAGGGGGATTTCCAGACATGCATCTCTTGATTAAGAATTTGATACTGGTACACATAATAACCCAAGCACAGTCACCTGAGATCTCCCATCAAGGATAAGGCTACCAAAGGTCCCCAAATCGCAATCAAGTGAGGAATTTCCCTGACTGCCCTGGTGGGTGATTTCTAAGTGAAATTAATAACAGCTTCATTGGGAGTGGAAGTATGATAACTTCACCGGCACATGCAAGAGCTATGCAATTCAGATTTAATAGACATCTTTACACAGTTGTTCAGGACTGAGCAAACAAGCACTCTGCATTGTCAGCTGTTGTCAAGTTTGGTATTGACCACCAATATTGTACAGTCTGATAGCATCCACAAGCACCAAACTCTCTCCAACAGATTACAAAAGGCAAAATCCCTTCTTGTTTTTTCTTGAAAATGGATGTATCTATTCAGCCAGCTCATCTTTAGAAGATGTTGCTTCTTTGTATGCCTTTAGTAGAAAGGCATGCATTATGTATAATAGGAGTCACTCTCTTTGAATTTGCCATTAGTATCATACGGCAGTGAACAGATATAAATATTAAATACAGATAAATGTTACATGGAGAAATTGAGTACTGGAATACTAGAGTCCATTGCTCGAAGGCAGAATTCATATCCTTCTGTGAGTAGCTGCTACATTGTGCTGGAAAAAATGAGCAAGCTACTGGAAATTATCATCATTCTCTCCCAAATAATAATTTCAAAAGTAATATGGATTTATGTGTCACCTAAGAAAACAATAAAACCTGCCAGAACACTTGTAAGAAAATACTGCGAGTCTGTGTTCCTTAGTATTCTTTACAAATTTGTAGGAGTCCTTTAAAAAGAAAACTTGACAGAAAAATAGAACAGCACATTTTCTGTCATTTGGAAAGCATTTCCCATTGTATCTCTTGTGTGTGAGCTGGATTTTTCAAGTAAAAATGCAGCTTTTCAGAAAGAACATGGGTGAGCAGTTGTTTTTGTATCCAGAGGTCAGTACTGCTATTTTGCCATCAGGAAATCCATAGTGTTTTTGCTGTATTAGCCAATTGTTTTGTAGTGATCAAAAGTAAAAATCAGAAGACTGTGGTCAGCAGGAACAGGGAGGTGATTGTCCCTCTCCATTCTGCCCTCATGAGGCCCCATCTGGAGTACTTTGTCCAGGTCTGGGGCCACAGTACATGAAAGATGGGAAGCTGTTGCAGCAGGTCTGGAGGCAGGCCACAAAGATGATCAGAGGGCTGAAGCACCTCTTCCATGAAGAAAGGCTAAGGGAGCTGGGCTTGTTCAGCTTGAAGAAGAGAAGGCTGCGGGGTGACCTCATTGCGGCATTTCAGTACCTAAAGGGAGCCTACAGACAGGAGGGGAGTCAACTCTTTACAAGGGTACATAATGGCAGGACAAGGGAGAATGGTTTTTAGTTGAGGGAAGGAAGATTTAGTTTGGATGTCAGGAGGAAGTTCTTTACAGAGAGAGTGGTGAGGCGCTGGAACAGGCTGCCCAGAGAGGTTGTGGATGCCCCATCCCTGGAGGTGTTCAAGGCCAGGTTGGATGGGGCCCTGGGCAGCCTGGTCTAGTACTGAATGTGGAGGTTGGTGGCCCTGCATGTGGCAGGGGATTGGAGCTTCATGATCTTTGAGGTCCCTTCCAACCCAAGCCATTCTATGATTCTATGATTCTGTGAAAAAGAAGTTTAAGGTCATGAGAAGATCTGTGGCAAAACTAATAGCATGCAAGTTTTTCTTACTCACTGCTTACAAACCTATGTTGCTTCTCTGAACTACATAGCAAAAAAGAAAAAAAAAAAAAAAAAAGGAAGGGGGGGGAGGGGGGAGACGAATATAAGGCCCTAAGAAGAGATTTGAAAAACCTACAAAATAATGGCCATGCAGATTTGGTCATGGGTGAGGAATTGCTCAGAAATGCTTGATAAACAAGCAGCAGCCTGAACTTTAGAACCGTCTTTCCTAAAAACCCCATATCCAGAATGCTCAGTGTAACTCTACATTTATGCCTTAGATATGATAAGTTCTTTCTTCTTTCATTTTTGCTGTCGCTTCAAGGATTCATTCTAGTGTCTATGAAAGGTAGGTGTACTTTGTGCTTTGTTAAATCTCTCATTCTTTGGCACTGTTGACTTCCCAGGCTAAAATACAATCATAAAGAAAGCTTGCAGCCAAGAAACACTTAAGGTGATTTTAATAATCAGCAAATTAATGCATTTTTAATATTACCTTAAACTTCTACTTCAGACAGTTTTTAAGTGTGAGTCATTTCAGTACTTCTAAAGATCACATTAGCTAATTCATTCAGCATTCATTTCATTTGTGGGATGGAGGGGAAGCTCAGAACGCATTGTGCTTCATGCCAGTTCTGAAAATATGGTTGCTTATTTAGTTGAATTACTCCTTTTTTTGTTAATTGTACAGTATACCTCATTTGAACAGACATGTCTTTCATGTCTAGAAGATCTTGTCTGTAGCAGTAAAGATGTCTAGGAGGACAGCATGAGAATCACAGGATAATTTCTCCAAATGACCCTTGATGTTCTGTCTCTGAGTTTCGAGATTTTATGGAGTGGATGCTAAGCTTGTGGTGCAAGGCCATCTCTTCTAAAAGTGTCCACTGGATTGCAAAAGACAGATTCATATGCTCTGCTAGGTGATATTAACCACAATAGATCAGGCTTTCCTCAGAAAAAGTGTATCTGAATAGCAAAATATCCTTAATATGCAAATACTTTGTCATAACTAGAGAACCTTGCAAAAAACTGAGTTTCCAGTTATTGTGAAATTAGTGCAAGTTTCTGAAAGACTCTTTTAATACCAATCATAATTTTCCTGTTTTGTTATGTCTAAATGAATGCAGATGCAGAGAATCATTGGAAAGGAAGATGATTTGAAAACAGCTGGAGATGAAACCATATTTCAGGTATGAAATAGAGATGCATTTTTCTTAACAAAGGTACTGTCGTATTTCCTGTGGACTTTGTTATTTTTTAGATGTGTATATAAGCATCAGTGACTGTTATAATTAACATAGGTGCATTGGGTGTCAATTTTCTAACTTCGGAAGAAAAATTATTTTCATTTCTGCATGTCCTGATGAAGTTTATGCAATTAATTTATTCTACTTCTGTGTAGTATATATTTTTTTAATAACTTCTGCAAGGTTCTGTTTTAAAGTAACTTTGTTATACTTATGAAAAATCCAGAAAACCCTATGTATTGACACATGAGAAAAGATGGCTGCAAACATGAATTGATACCTTAAACTTAATGTAAGTGCTGCTGTTGCAGTAATATCAGCTTATTTTGAGTTGGTTTGTGTCTTAGTTTCAGTCAGGATGGAATTGGTGGTATGGTGGTATGTTTTTGATCTAGGAGAAAAACAATGTTGATAATACAGCGATGCTAATAGCTGCTGCTAAGCAGTGTTGTACAGAGCCAAGGCCTTTCACAGTGAAGGGCCCAGGGAGCTGGGGGGGAACAGAATTAGGACTGCTGACTTAAATTGGCCAAAGAGTTACTCCATGCCTTATGGCATCATGCAGGAGTTTTGAGGGGATGGGAGTTATCTGGCTCTCTTCTACCACTTAAGGCAAGCTGGGCATCAGCTGGGGAGTGGTGAGCAATTGCTTGTGTGTCACTTGTTCTTTACATTCATATATATGTATATATATACACACACACGCATACATTGTCATAACTATTTTCCTTTCCCTTTTCTCTATCTTATTAAATAGCTTTAGCTCAACACACGAGTGCTACTTTGTTGTTTTTTTTTTAATTCTCTCCCCCTTCACGTTGAAAAGGAGGGGAGTAAGTGTGTGGTGCTGAGCCATCTGCCAGGGCAGGCCACAACAGTTTGAAATATATTTGCTGTGGCTCAGGTGACAAAGGCAAGCATTATCTTTGTAAGTTCTGCTTCCAAAGAGAAATAGTTTAATTGCGGACCAGAAGAGGAAACAATCTTAGAATGCTGCCTTCAGGCTGGGTTAGAAGTTTCTTGGGATTGCAGACCATTAGGAAATGGTAAATGCACATCATCAGGGAAAGGAGGAGAAGGTAAATTCCTGTTCTCTCCTGGCTGTTTTTCCCTAAATCTTGCCAGTGTAACTTACCTTCTTTCCTGAGATGAGTGTTTGACAGCTGTCATCTCTTCTTCAGTCTCTGTTCAGCACAGTGACATTCCGTTGCTTGAATGAGATTGAATGAGACTGAAAACAGAAGGGGAACATCTCAGTGTACTGAGAACACCTCAGCAGAAGCAGATGAACTGAGGCAAAGAGGAGAGTGCAGATGAACTATCTCCATCTGAAGTGTTTCCTGCATCCTCAGCACTATCTCTGTTGCATGCTTATTCTCTCCACAGACTTGCTTTCAGTCTTAAACTGAAAATGGATAGTTGGGAATGGGGCATCAACTGCTGATGTTATAAGCTAAGCAAATGCTAATGTTGTTTCAAAAGAAATTTATACAGGGATCTGTTTTATAAACCCATTGTGCATAAGCAGTTTCTACAAAGAGTAAGGTTGGTTTGTGTCATTTGCTTTTTCACCAATCTCAGAAAAAACAGAAGTGACAGTATGGGTAACACCTTTAGCATTGGCTAGGCATAAACATAAATTACCTTCTGTTGCATGCAGGTATTTGGTCCCTCACTATGCGTACAGACTTCAGCTGAAAATTATTTGGCTGAACAACAACCAACTCTTCCTGAATCATTTCTTCAGTCACCAGATTAAAATAGCAACAAGTAATGGGGTTGTCTGTTACTTCAAACCAATTTCAACTGAGACTTAATTTCTGTAGAGTAAAAGAAAACTAATCTTCATTCTATCAGATTTCCAGAGAAACTTTGATACAGTTGGACAGATTTGTATAAAAACACATAAGTGTAGTAAGAGCTACTTAGTTACCTGAGCCCGAATGTCTCCATTTTGTTGTGCCTCTTCAGAATGCTCCATTGCAAAATATCTGAAATTATTGTATCAAAAAAAATTTAAAAGCAGTTTCTTAGCAAATTATAAATGGATTATAGCCTACTTAAAAGATGAAATAAATACATTTATAGAGTACAGATATATTGAAGTTCTTCTACTTTTCATATTTTTCCTTGGAAAAATCCAATTTGTCATTTTTCTTTTTATTTTTATTTCCTGTCTCTGTCTCTGAAAGTACAAGTTGATTATAAGCAGTGAATCTAACAGTACAATGTGGTATCAATGTACATATCTTTACTCCCTATTTCTAACAACTATGGCACTTGCAGTATTATTTTCAATCAAAGCAGGTAAAGCATAAAAATATTTACACTTACAGTGTTCTTCAAAAGCTGGGATGTTGCAACAGAAGTTTGCTGTTTGGAACAGTTCTTTGTTCCCATACCTTTGTAATTTGCATTCACGTTTACTGCTCTTTCAGAGTAATCCCAGTTTGTTTTGTGATACCAGATGAAAAAAGTGTCACTGCCTTATGACAGTAAGATTTAAATGGCAGTTTGCAACTTCATTTCACCTCCAGACATATCCAGGTGTGTTCCCTGCCCAGCAAGCAGGCAGAAGCCAAAGTCAGTCATTTAATGATTGGATATACTCCTCAATACTCACTGAGATACTGTGCTAGGAAAAGAAATAGCATTTTTTTGCTTTGCACCATCTTTGGTCCATGCATCTCTGTTTCTTGTATTGAGAGTCTGAATATGCCACTTATGTTCAGAATGTTACTAGTTATGGTTATTTGACAGGGATTGCAGTGAGCTTGGTTCTTCAAATAAAAACATTTTAATTGAGAGGTTTTTCTTTTTCCAGTGTTGTTATCAATGCAGGAAGGACATCAGAAAAAACTGCCTAGCCTTAATCAGCCCAGTCATTTAGGAGGCTCCTTGCTGACTTTTTCCCATGTGATTTACCTACAGTACAGGCACGCACACAGATAGATGCAGGCACGCTTACAGAACCATCAACCTGTTTGGTGTATTTTGGAAAAGGTTTTCTCCAGTTAAATGCAGTGGTTGCTTCTTGGTGTGAGTTTCCTGAGTTCCTTTAAACAGTGTTATGTGCATCAACATTGCTGTAGTGAAACCAAAGCTAATGTTTGCTGATATCTGCCCTACAGCTAGAGCAGGGACTTTGCTCCTGGGTCCTTCTGTTTAGATTAACGAGTTATCAAGCAGTTTCAATACCTCCAATTTAATATGCTTTGTGTAATGGATAAACTTAGAAAATAAGTTTAGCTATTGTTCAGTTATTCGGGAAGGAATGACAATGCAGAATCTTCTGTAATTGTTCTTAAAATTGAATTAATGTGGGGCAATATTACCTGCATTGTTAAGTTCCAAATGGTTAAACATATGCTCCTGAATTCCATAATAAATGCATTTTCATGCGAAGAATCTAACTTCCATGTGTTTTTTTAAACATTTAACTAGTACTTGGGGACAAAGCTATTAATCTTTCTTAAATGGCCTACTTTAATGGTAGCACATGGATATTTTCCTATTGTTGTGTAGCAATTGTTTTTGCCTGTTTACTTCTCTTTTTTTTTTTTTCTCTTTATTTTCTCCTAAGAGAGCTGAATGACATTAATTGTCCTCATATTTGTCACCACTTACGACCTTCAGACATTGCAGCACTGCAGTGCATCTCAGCCCCAGAGACTGGGCAGGCCATCTCATAACTTGTCCATCTGCTTATTAGAATTCCTAAGTAATTTAAAATTTTCTGTCCATAACTTTGGAGTCTGCAAAGCCCTGGGCTCGTGATAACTGAGGACTGCCTGAATTGAATGGGCGAAAGTGGTGGTTAACAGCTATGCTTTTATACTGCAGTAACATTCAGTGACAGGGCTACAGCATATCTATGCAACACATCAAATTTTCAAAGGATACAGCCCAAGACTAAAATTGATGTCCCTCCCAAAACAGTGTGTCATAAGTATTGTCATCTTTTACTTCATAATAGTGCACATTTCTTCTAGAACCATCTTATGCTACGTATATGTTTTGTATTAGCCAAATAACATTGAATTCTGTTGAACAGCTTTGGGATACATTTTGGGATATATTCCTGTTTAAAGGAATCCCTCTAAGCAGGTAACCCCCTGAAGAGCCAAGCAGCACTGCATCAAAATACCAAGCTATTAAAAAACTGCTGGGTCACTGCTTACCTCACAGACAAGGAAAATATTTTATTTTTCCACATGATCTGATGCCATTACATCCTCAAGAGAGATGGAGACACGTCCTTTCTAGCACTGGCACTGTTCCACTAGTCCCATCTTCAGGTGAATGACCTTTAAAGATCCCTTCCAACTCAAATGATTCTGTGATTCTATAAATTTTCTAGATACCTATTATGCAAGTACATTACCTTGGGCTTGGATAGTGAAAGACTCTCCCACAAGGAATTCATCTGGAAGCCTGCTGTGGTCACAGCAGCATTGCGTTCTGTTTTACAGACAAGAGGGAAGGTTACCCCTTTCATCCCCGCTGTGTAACCTCACTGAGCTCTGCTCTGTGTGACAGCAACAGGGCCCGAGGGAACGGCATGGAGCTGCGGCAGGGGAGGGCAGCTGGGGGTGAGGGAAAGGCTCTGCACCTTAGGGCGGTGGGCATGGAACAGCCTGCACAGGGCTGTGGGCACGGCCCCAGTGCTGGAGCTCAGGGAGCGTTTGGAAGCGCTCTCAGACACAGGGATTGGATTTGGGGTGGTGCTGTGCAGAGCTGGGGTTGGACTCGAAGATCCTTGTGGATCCCAGAAAATAGCAGTGTAGGCTCCACACAAGGGAGGGAGGGCACAGGTCTGGCCCAATACCTACGCATCTATCAGCTGTAGCCCTGGCATCAGAGCAGGAAGAATCTAGTATAGCGTTGCTCTGCTTTACATAGTGCACTAGCTTATAAAATCAATTGGAATGAACTGGAAAAGCTGCATGTATGCAGGTCCAGTCTGCATACACACGCTGCCTGTCAGGGAGGCAGTGGGACAGTGGGGTGGAGATGCATGCTTTGCCTCGGAGGCCACATTAACATTAAACAGAAGAGTGAGCTTCACAAAGCTTAATACCTCCTGAGGGAGTTTCTTGTGACAGATTCTCTGTTTTTTATGGAAATTAATATTTCTAAAGTATGACGTGGCAGGGAGGCAGGGCCTGTACCCCTGTGAGGGCTGAGCCCAGCCACACAGAGGCTGCACACCAGGCAGGCCCCACACAGCCAGGCTGGGTCCCCTCACCCTGCTGGCAGCAAAGCGAGTTGAAACCCGCTCTGATTTCTGTCATCAAGCATCTCCCACAAGATCGGCTTCCAGATTAGCATAATCCTATTTGGCTGGCAACCATTTTTATTCAGTACCTCCTAGAGAACAGCAGCAGGCCTTGGGGTGAGGTGCTGCAAGCTGAAGACATTCATGAAGTTAGGTTTTCCTCCTTGCTAAGGCACTGATGCTATGGCATAGCCACTCCATGGCATCAGCTGTCATTAACATCAGGCATCATTAACAAACAGCCAACCCACAGATAATGGGAGTGTTCACTCCCAAGTGCTGAATGTAAGTTTTCTTATAAGTTAATGTCTGTTATATCTTCTGTGGAAAAAGTGAAGTGCACAGCTTCACCTGCCTGTACCAGACCTGGTGTATCCTTGAATCCTGCCTAGTGAGAATCTGAGAAGGCAACGCATTCAAAAGTGCAGTATGGATTTACGTGATTAAAGCTGACTCATCCTAAAATGACGTGTTCATTCTGGAGCCCTCTTCAGGCTGTCTGGGCTTTGCCAAAAAAAGGCTGCTTTTGGAGACCTGGATCTCCTAGTCTCACTCATTTGCCTGCTTTTAGTTGTTCTGGCTGGCTGTACCTAATAGGATTCATATCATAATGGCTACATCTTTAAAAACTCCTTCCTGAAGCTGAGTTGCAGGATATATTCCAACATCTTGGAGCCCTATGAATGACAGAAACCGCCGTGCTTTTGAGCCATGTTTGAGGCAAAGCTGCCTAGATTGAAGGCTAGATGGCTTCCAGGGAGAGAAGCATGGCCTGAGGAAGTGACTAACTTAGCAACTGAAGAACAAGTAATAGTTCAGAGAAGTGGACTGGAGAAAAAAAAATTGCAAGGTTTTAGTTTTAGTTTTAGAAAGATTTTGATCATCACTAGCAGATTGAAATTAGTATATTGTTCTTCTCGACTCTCATTTCTTTACCACCTCTTCAACTATTCTCTCACCTTCTATCTTAACAAAAAATAAAAAAATAAAAAAAAGTTTTAAATCCCAAATTTAAAAAAAAGTTTTAAATCCCAAATGTATTTTTACATTTTCTATGAAAGCAAGATATTACACAGCAAATGTCATCTCCCAGGATGCAAGTAAGATTAGGAACATGCTACAGATTTTAATAGTGATGAATACTTTCATGCCTCAAGCAAATTCTACAATGAAAAGTGGTAAGAATCCAGAGACAGCAAGTCTATTAACATTTCAGATGAGTTAGGTACATTATTCTGAAAATCTTTTCTTACCACGTGATAAGTTTCTTCAGTAGCACTTGTTGCTACTTGCTGCAGTGTGAGGTCCTACATGCAAAAAGCTCGGTGGGAAGCTACAGGATTATGTAGGCCTGTGCCTGTGGCTCAGTGTTGGCAGCATCAGGCTTCTATGTTAACAGTCTGTGTAACATAAAAAGGAAATATCTGATTGTGTTATCTGATTTCATTTTAAAATGATTACTTTTTTGTACTTTTAAAATGATGACATTTTTGAAGGTTTATAAGGTGTTAAAATTACTCCAGGAACATGAGTTTAATGTTTCCAGAAACACATGTTCCTTAGTTCATATAGGCTTGAGCAACATCAGAGATTGGTCTTTGGGATCCTCTGTCTGAGGCAATGGACCCAGGAGAATGTCTGAGTTCCCCAAATGAGACACATGTCCATGCCCCATCAACTTGCAGACATCAAGGTGATAACATCACCATCCATTCTTCTTTCTGTGCCTCATCTTCCTCTAAGGCATGAACCCAAAAAGCTGCTGAAGTGCAACCTGCAAACGCTAAAGCCACCACACACACCTGAATACAGACAGTTTAGAGAGTGGCTCTGTCACTGAAAGCTACAACTCTGATCCTTTTTACAGCTACAAGGTTAGGTTACCATTTCATTCTCACTGCCCAGAGACATTCCAAATCTAAGTTGTTCTACCTAGGCTCGGGAGGGTGAGCTGTTGGAAATATTAATAGACCTCTCATTATCTTCTAACAAACATTTGTCATGTTGGTACTAATTTATGCAGTTCAGCAGCAAAAGCTCCTAATGATTTTGTGGAAAAAAATGAATTATGTACTAACATGTGCTTTAATAGCATTAACTTTAGTAAAAGCAATTTTTTTTTTTTTTGCAATTTTACCCGTAAGGTGTAGTTTCTCTTGTCTCCTATTGCATATTCTCTTTTAAAGAAATGTGCTGCTTTGTAGTTTTAAAACACATTTAACTCTCACTAACACAGTGTTTGGACATCTGCCAATTCCACTTTGGAATTTCAGCTGATAAAGAGGGGTAGCCAACGAGTAGGTCCATATTTGTTATAAATCCAGGGATAGGCTTTGCCATCTTAGATAAGATGAGATGGGTATTGTTTGTATGTCTTCATCTGGCTTGTAGCTAGAGGAACCTGAATAGAAGAAAATTATTTTTCTGTTGCAAATTTAGTTTTTAAGAGGTAATTTTAAACTTTGTTTTTCAGATCACTTTCAGTACAACACTGGTTTTAAACAGAGTTGTTAAATTGCAAGTATTAAATTCCATAATCACGAGCTTAGTTTTAAAAATTACATCAGAAATTTATTCCTTGTATTTTTCAAGTTCTCTTTGAACAAGCAAACAAAAAGGAGATTAGAATCTCACTGCAGTGGGAAATGCATTGATTCTTTTCTGTTTCTTCTTAGAAAACTTTGCATTCCAACGTTAATAGTCAGGGGTTGACTTTCAAACAAGCATACACAAGCATTTGACTTTTGACTTTCAAAAAAGCCCATACGAATGTTTATGCATCAGTCTTCACAGCAATCTGAAGTGTTTAAACTTTAGAAGGATGGACCTCGTGGGTATTTAAATATTCTTTGCCTGCAGTTAAATGATAAAGTTCAATAAGTACAGTTTGCTTGTGTCTTGAAAACTGTTTTTTTCCAGATTCACTCATTCATGACTTGCATCACTGACATTTAGTGCATTGTGGTCTGCAGTAGAAATGAGGAATGTTACATTTTAACTATAACATAACTGTGTCGCGTATGCAGTAAGCATGAAACACAGGGACTAATGGGACTTGTTATTGATGATGCTGAAAGCTAAATAACCATTAGTATTAAATCTTATGAATAGACTCTTGTCTTTCATCTTACCTCTTCAACCAGATAAAAGACACAGAGGCTATTTAGATGTCATAAGAATAGTTTGTTGAAATCCCTCTGGACTTGAAAAAAAAATCTCTCTTCATGTTTCCCGGTGTTTTGTTGCGTTCAAAGAAATGCCAGTACACTGCTGCTGAAAGAAGAAAAGGACAGAAACCCAGCATTATGTGTGGGTTTAGGCTTGTTAAAGATGCTGTTGAGTTGAAATAACGTGCATCGTTTTTCTGCAGAAATCTCTTTATCAGATTTTTAAAAACAGAACAATGAATAGCACTGAAGATTGGCAAGAAGCCTTCTGAGACCAAACTATAATAGAACACTGTGAATGTTTTTGTTTTTCTAGTTCCACTTTGTAAAGTCTCGTAAATGTTTTTAAATGACTGTAACAAACTAAAAATGCCTAAGAACTCTCTTTTACAGAGATGTTACATTTATGTAAACCTCTCTTCACCTAAACATAAAGCCTTATAACGATTTAACTAGCAACCTTTTCCATTCTAATGATAAAGTACAACAGAGGTGGTTGTAAATTGTACTCAACTTTCATACAGAATATTTAGGAGCAGGATGTACATAGACTGTTACCAGCTGATGTGGAAAAAATATTCAGCTTGGAGATTCTTGTGTGATAGCTTTGGGAACAGTAATTTAATTACAAGCATCTCTTGTGAAATTGTACTTCAGATAAATACTTTGAGATTTGCAGTGAGTAGATAGCAATAATCGTCAGGGATTTTTTTTGTTTGTTTTATAGGAAGCAGAATTGGAAAGCTGTGATGTTAATACCATGCTGCTGGTGCATTTCTTTGGAAAAGAAGGAAAGGAAAAACTTCGCTATTCTGAGTTTTTCAGGTATTTTTTCAGCCAGTCCTGTTCATAACACTTCTACTCTGCATTAACACTGGTGTTAGCCTGACCCTATGCTGAGTTGGTTCAGAAAGTTAAATGGATAACCAGGTAGGAGACTATTTGTGGTTTTACATGATTGGAGTTCTGGTGTAGCTCCTTGGACCTACTGTCTGCAGGAGAAATTGTGCTCAATTTTCTGCATCCAACCCTGATGAACTCAAAAGCAGCAAAAGGGCTGGAGGTCATGAGGTTTGAGATTACCATCATACTGTCTTACATGCAGCTGCCAAGACACAGCATACTGTAAGACAGTATGATTCAAGAGTATTTTTTTAGAACAGTGCTAATCAATTGAGCTTTACTGAATTGAGATGGTCCTCATTACAACTGTCATGTTAGGATACAGGAAACATTTCTGCTCACTTCAAATTCCAACTTCTGTTGAAACTTCAGTGATGCCTTTTTTCACCCTTTGAAATATTGCACTGGGGCAATGCAGATACTTTGTGGCACTTGTGCTGGTACTTAAAATTGAGGCAGATGGTAGACAGGATCAGACTGAAGCTGCGGTGCCACACCAAGTAGCCACTACTGCTGGAAAAGCATTGCTTGCAAGTCTGGTTTCACTGTAAGCTTGAAAAATCAGAAGCTCAAATAATGTTCTAAGACTGGAGTCATTCAGTTCACACGTTACATGTGTGTCAGAAAAATGCTGTAATCCCTGTCCACATTCGAGCGTGAAGCTCTGCTGTGGTTGATTTCAACTTGAAAATCCGACTAGGTGTCAGGTGTTTGTGTTTTCACTGAAGGGCTTTTAATTCCAGTGTTTCTTTAAATCAGTAATGATGACCACCAGTGATCAACATTTAACTGGTTAAAACTCTCTGTTACTTGGGAGATCAATTTCTACTTTTAGTATGAAGTCAGGACACATCTTGTTATATGAATGTTGGGCCGGAATCCAGATACACACTTTGAAATAAATGGAAGTTAAATGCCTGTACATCTCTATGATTCTTGATTTGCATTTTGAACACAACATCAAGAGAAGATTATCTATATTAGTATTACTTCTTCTACAAAAATAATTGGACATTTACAGACTGTGGAAACAAATTGTTTACTTGAATTTTTGTTCAGAAGCAGGGGGAATCTGTGCCAGCCCTCTTAAAAAATGGATGTTGTTTCAGTCAGTAAAGGTTTGAGGAAAGCCAGAGTGAAAAAGGAAGACAATTTTTTTAACTCTAAAGAGCGTTCCACTCCACTGGCTCAAGTACATACCAGTCTTCAAATAAACAGCCTTTCTCTTTTGAAGACCTCCACTCAATAGGAATCTGAGTAAAATAAGTTTAAGATGCCTGCAGCTCCCTTCTGTATAAATAGCATAGATTCTCTCAATGAAACAAAAGGCAGAGAGCACCAGTAAAAGGTTGTGTTTGCATATACAGTGTAAACTGAAATGCCTTGGCTTTTAGATAAAATCCCATGCTGACCCAATGAGGCATGACATTGATAAAACTATGTACCTAGTACGATCAGAACGTATGGGTTAAAGACCTTTGCCTACCACACAGATAGAAACCTGTAATCAAAATCAAACTCCCACATCTTACTCTTAAAATCTGTGGGATAAGTGTAAGGTTTAATGCAGGTAATTTTTCAACAGTGGCAGTTATTTTTTGTAGAGTTGGAATGTGCCTCTTTATCACTGTGTAGACACTCCATCTCAGTTGCAACATGACAGTGAAGTTTGTTTAACACACAGAAAGGCGAATAAAAGAATCAGTGTCTTTTTAACCTGTGTGAAGATATCACTTTTCACATGATTTTATTTGCAAGTAAATCAAGCACATCATTTCTAGGTTCCTATTGTTCAGAGAAAATGTGATTTCTATCTGATGGCCTCTCATAACATTTTACCTTACGCGGGAAGCTATTGTTGGCTGTTTGATCAAAGTGCCACACTGTTTTTACAAGAGATGACTGATGAGCTGTACAGACATAGATCATTGTCAAAAGAAGAAAATAATGGTGGTAAATGCTTTTATCATTTTCCAAGTTGTTGCCTAGAAAGCTTTTCCATTGATCAGTGTAGTACCTAGCGGAACGTAGAGGTGATTAGATTTGATTAGGACACACTAAAACTTGTCACATTAGTTAAATACACAGATATTACTGCATTACAGAACCACACAGTAAAAAAAAAAAAAAAAAAGGAATGCCTTCTTTGTGAAATTTCACTTTACTTGTATGGGAATTCAGAAATCTGAGACTGGTGTTCTCACCTCATTACTTACATATATTTTCCTCATGCTCCTACTTTGCAGTTTGGCTGACTTAAAAATCTTTTTGTAAGTGTGCAACCGTCTGTGTCTGCACTTTCACCAATGATGTCCGACCCTTTTAGTCTGCAGTCCAAACATTTAAAAAATGTCAGACAGCCACAGTATCAGGGCATTTCATTTGCCTTGTTCTCCTTCTTTGCATTCAGATGACACAAAGAAAATGGAAACTGTCTATGTCTCTTCAGTCAGTGTGAAGCTGAAGTAAGCCAGTTCTTGTGCCTCCCTTCCTACACCCCCAAACACAGGAGGCATATGGATTATGGAGAGGGAACGTGGTTAATCACTCTGTTCTCCATCTCCCTCCAGCTGCTGCATAGTTCTTTGGAAATCGTAGGTAGGGTATACATGCAAGGAGACCCTCAGACTGCTTTTTACTGGACAAGAATGAGACCATGAAACAATATCAGATCATTTTTCAGCTTCTTCTTCTTCTGTTGTGAAAGTAGATGTAAAGAAGTAATCCACAAGTAGTAAGAATCCATATAAAAGCAATTCCGTATATACTTTATTACACCAGTTAAGGTCTTTCTCACTATTGTACAGAACATAGTCAAAACAGCAACCAAAGCTGCTCCTTTTCATCCTCCATTGAACAGTAGTGGTGGGTGCAGCTTCTTCTGGAACCACATACAAGTTGAGGAGGCTATCAAGGAAGCACATCCTCCTGTGCCATTCACGTAGTAACAAGGTGGTCTCAGAGCTCTTAAGGCATGACTCAAGGAACACGTGCACAGCCCCAGAATGCTGCATGATTTCTTGTCAGTTGTATTGTCCTTAACATCACCATTCACATCTTCAAAACAGTTTTTTTTCACTGGCAAAAGGTAGGAAACATTAATCAAATTTATTTTGTAGAGTGTAAATCACTAGTAGAAGTGGTACCTCAAAGCCAGGTGCAATTGGGATGTTTATTGTCCATTATATGTGTGTCTATATACATATAGATATAACAAAGAAGGGTAAATTAAATACAAGAAGCTGTAACGAGGTAAGACTTTCTTCTCAGAAATGTGAACCAATTCCTGTCTCAGGTGACCACCACATTGTTTTTACAATAATACCATTTTCTAATACCAGGCCTCATCTTAGAGATTGTCACACTTCAAACATAAAGCCAGAAATCCATTGGAATTCCAGGCTTTTTTTTTATTATTCTTATGCATGGCAGTTTCCCTGGAATTTTTTGAGACAGAAACTATTTTTTTGTATTTTTCTTCCAAAACTTTTTCACTTGTGCTTTAAATTCAGCTATGTGGTATGTGGGTTTTTTTTGGTTTTTTTTTTTATTATGAGTAGAAAGCTATTTAGTTTTCTGGGTTTAGCACGTATTTCTTCTTGACAGCCACTGTGGTGTTTTGTTTTGTTTTTTTCTGAAAGTCCCTTGCTGATCTTGTTTAAGTATGTCTAATCCCAAATAAAAGAGGAGACAGTAATTCACTCCCTAGACAGTTTATGACTGCTATGACTTTTTTCCTGTAATCTGTCCCCAAGCGAGCTTAAATCTCTCACAATCTCCTTCAAGGGTGAAAAAAAAAAGGAATAAGTGAGAGCGTAGGGAAAAAAATACTAAAAATACTTCTAATTGATTCTGGAAGGAATAATGAAAAATTACTTTCCAGTATGGTTAAACAATAATCATAATTTAATCATATAAGAAAAAATAAATCCTGTTAATTTTCTTTCCCGATTTGTTGCTTTCAAACTTCTCATCAATTAATTGAAGTTTGCAACTCTTTATTCATTTTTTTCTTCTCTAGCTCAGAGGTTCCCAGTTGTACAACCATGCACAAAACACTGCCTTTCATTTACATGTCCTGTTTCTCTTTCTTTCGGTATTTTCAAACTCGTTGGTACATTTCATTTGAAAGCATTCATTTAAGAAACCAAAATATATAAACTGAACTACGCTGATAGGACGGAAATTTGTGTGGTGCTCTTTCTGAGTTCGTGCCAATGCACACAGGCAGAATCTCAAGCAGCATCCTCAGCCAGTGATGTTTTTGCCATGGTGACAGCTTGCACATTTCCAGTGATTTTCATCTAGAGATTTGGAAGTGCAGTTATGATTGCCTCTTTATGTGTCCCTATACCTACATTTCTATCTGTCTATAGACCCCAAATTCACTTAGAGATTACATGCAACCAGGATCAGACTGAGGAAAGAAAAGGGATGAGAACAAAATCTGCCTTCTGGTTCTATATTCCCATCGCAAGTGAAACTGAGTATTTCCCAAACATTTAGTAGTGAGACTGAGAAGAATCCCCATTTCTTCCTTTCCTGTATACTTATCAGACAAATAGCTTGATTAGTTTCACTACAGAGTGCTTATAGATGAACATGATTAATTTGATTGTCTGGTTTGGAAACACTGAGAACACTAAATCAAAGGGAGTTTTGCCTGTAATTCTGACAACGCTGAGATTGAGTAACTGCTGTAGCACTTGCTGAGCTGAGTTTGTAAGCATGTATGTAAATGATCTGTGAGGGTTAGTGGTCAGGTCCTTATTAAGTTTTCCATATTCTCTTCTGGAAAGTCATATTTGCCAAAAGGCAGCGTTGCAGCTCTTGGTAGCAGTCATTTGCTGCAGAGATGATTATCGAGTCTTCAGCAGGACTGCAGTGTCTGAAGAGGAGCCAAACCAGAGTAGAAATGCTGGAGTGATATATTCACCTCTGTCTTAGTTGTCAAGTTTCCTTCCTACAAACCTATATACCACAAGCACCAGTCGGTTTTGTATTACAGTACTGAAGCTCTGTACAGACTTTGAATTCAGATCAAAAAGTATAGGAAGGAAAACATTCCCTAACCTTTCCTTTTGTGTTTCATTCTCTACTTCATGTGCCATAAGGAAGCTAGCACTTCATTGCAACATCTCAGGTTGGAGAGAGAATAGCTGCATTCCTGAGGTTCCCCACTGTTATTACATTTTCACTTCTATTAAACTGAGTTGCCAAAAAATCCTAAGAGACTCCCTCTTTCTGTAGGTTTGTAAAGCATGTTACAAAATGTGGGCTAACTTCTGATAAGGCTTCTGGATGCTGTTGTAACATGATAACAAAGTTGGCCATTGGCCTTCAACATGGGTGTTTCAGAGTATGGATAAAACAGGCTGTCTTAAAGAAAGTACTGTCTGTTCCAAGCCTTTTCTCCATCTTACAAATTTATGATTGCTCTTTTCTTTTTGTTATTTGGAAACTCAGGAGTTGCTTTTATCCTTAAGCTGCAGTGCAAGAACATTTCCAGTGCAGTTATTCTTGAATTGTAGAACATATCTAATATGCGAATCCCATTCCCGTAGCTAAATTTTGTCTTTCTTTAAAGTCCACAGCCATTGACTTTAGGAGAGCAGGAATTCCATTAGTATGCTTGTTTTTCCTAATATATGAAGAAATTGTGAAGAAATTTCTAACTGAAAATTGTCATACTATGATCCAGAAGATAAAAAATCAAGTATCTCTAGTGGTGTTGTGGCATATAAGGTTTTACTTCCTAACCAGAAAGCTATTTTTAATAACTTTTAATAACTTTCTTTTTAAAAAACTCATTAGTATTTTTAACTCTCACATCTGGGAATAACAGTGACCTAGAATGCTGATGTGATGATTCATGGTATTTTAATTTTTATAATATGGGAGTCTATCAGATATAAATTTTACATTACATATATCAGCTGCTGAATTTGGTATGGCAGGAAATCTTCCCACTCTAGCTTGCCAGGAGCAAGCCTACATGTTGAAATGCAGGATCCATTAATTTTTTTCGTACCTGAAGAAGTAATTCCTGCTCTCCTTCCCACTCTGAGTAGCGCAGTAAGATGTGTGGCTGTTGTGCAGTGACATTGCCTGGAAACAACTGGAGAGGACAAGATTCCAGGCTTGAGAAAAGGCAGCAGAAACCATGGAAAGATTCAGTGCCTCATTCCCTATCAGACAGAAGCGGGTGCAGAATCAAGCATATGTCAGAAATGCCGGAGCCAAATGCTTCCTTTTCCTCTTGGACTTCCTTGCACCATTCAGCTGGCTGATGTATGTGGCTACACAGACCACTGGCTCCTTCCTTGGCATATAGAAATGCTTGGTCATCCAGTCCTGCCCTGAGCCCTGGATGGGTCACTGAGAGTTTTGTGCTTAAGTGGAACCTCCAAATGTAACATTTAGACATGATGGAGGAACGCGTCATTTGTCATCACCTGGCTACTAACCAGCTAATGACAGAGAGGTGGCTCTCCAAAATGAAGAACTTATCCTATCAAAAACAGACCTTACACCTATTACAAGATGTATTTTACTTCCACTGAGTAAAAGCCAAGAAAATAAAACACCAAGTTACACCCTGTCTTCTTTTACTAAATCCATGGCTTAAACATATTTCTGAAACCAACCTCATTTTCAGCAGCTTCTCCTCCCCCAGACCAGGTGTTCCATCAGCTGCAATCGAAGATGTGGTTACTGCTCTGCATGACCTGTACTATGTCTTTCAGCCATACATGAGCCACACATCCCAGATACTCCACTCTCACTTCTGATGGGCACTCCCAAAAAGCAACAAAGCTCTGTTAGGTTGCCTGCATGGCTTTGGTCTGCAAGGCCTGTTCTGCCCAACTGCTCAGCACAGGCAGACATGGGTGTTTAAAAAAAAGAGGTCTAAGGATCACAGCCTTCAAAACAGTGCAGCCAGCTTTTGAAAAGCTGTTAAGGCAGTGATGCTCTGAGTATCCCAGTCAAGAAAACCTTCTGCCTGCTGTAATGCTGTCCCAGGGGGGGCACCTCTGCCATGCAGGGGCCTTGAAACTACCTTCACTGGACCAAAAAAATGCCCATATAAAATGTGGGAGCATAGCATACACGTACTCAGCATTACACTAATAGAACTCCAGCCTGAATCTTAAATTCCCTCCCAGTGTCAGGCTTTCGTTTACCTGTGTGTCCTGAGCAGTGAAGCATTTGTTGGCCCTTTATTTGCATGTGCAGCTCTAATTATTAGAGAAGAAAATACAAGAGAGAGCTTATGCTGCTGCAGCAGCCTTCAGCTAACCCCTTATAGACTTCACAGAGCTTCAAGCTACTAATTGTCCGAGTGATCTCATTAAAGAACTAAAGATAGCTGTGCAGGCTAAAATGCTTTAATTTCAGGGAAAATAATTCAAATCCAGTGAGGCCATGCAAACACTGACGAGCAAATGAGTCTCTGCTGCTCTTTGCTGCCTAGACCCTTAGCTGTCTTCTCCAACTAATTGCTTTGTCCCAATATAGAAGTATTTCATTCCCTCCTGTCAGTAAATTTTGCAACTCAATTAAGCAGGGTTCTTTTGATGCAATGAAAAGATTCTGGCAAGCCTGGTTGTGTTTTTAACCTTTCTATTCACTGGGGAGAAAAAAATTGTACATGGCCCATCTCTAAATGGCTCATACACCATTGTTTTTCTCTATCTTGAAATCCATATCAGCCCCCCCACAGAAAATGATAAATGGCCATGTGGGCCAAAATGGGGAAATTCAAAAAGAAGGGAAATTCACAAGCTCTGCTTGTGGTTCCAGCTTCTGGAGGGTAGTGAAGGTTAGTGAGGCACTGGCACGGGTTGCCCAGAGAGGTGGTGGGTGCCACAACCCTCAAGGTCAGGCTGGATGGGGCTCTGAGCACCTGATGGAGTTGCAGGTGTCCGTGTTCATGACAGGGGGTTGTATCAGATGGCCTCTAAGGGTCACTTCCAACTCAAACAGTTCTGTGATTCTGTACCCCCACATTGGTACTTGATTCTCATGCTGCTTTAGTTTTTCTCCCTAAAGAATGAGTGTCTTCTAAAACTGCTGATGTTCACAGCATCCTTTTTCAGACAGCTCTCTCCTGCAATACCTGCAACATCATTTTCTGTGCTCTTCCAAACAGTCTGCATGCCATCTATAGTCCCAGCAAACCCATTCTCTCACTATTAAAGAACCAATTTGCCAAGTTTCTCTTTGCTGTCTGAGGCTTTACAGTCTTTGAGGCTTTTAGTTGTCCTTTCATGTAGCGATGATTTCAAGGTTTTTCTTTTCTTTCACCTTTGTAATAGTTGGTGCCTCTTCTTTGGAGATGCTTTCCAACCTTAAATTCCTCTCTTATTAATACAAAATTTCATAAATAACATGTCAGGCCTTCAGCTGCCCTGTCCTTTTCCACTCATTCATTACAACACTGCCTCATTGATCATTTTAATTCATTATCTGCACCTTTTCAAACATTTCTTTCTCACGTGAAAACTATAGGCAATCTCTGCACGCTGTCTAAGCGTGGGCTTAGGGAACACCCTGCTGGTGACCCTGCTGAAATGCAGCTGTGGGAACAAATCAGCTCCCAGGCTGGTATCTGCAGTCAGGTGGTGGTGTCTAATGCATATTCACTATTTGTTCTCACAGGTTCATGGAAAATCTGCAAACAGAAGTGCAAGAAATGGAATTCATACAGTTTTCAAAGGGATTGAATGTCATGAGAAAGGAGGACTTTGCAGAATGGCTACTGTATTTTACTGACGAGGAAAATAATGAAATTTACTGGCAAAACGTGAGAGACAGATTTGAAGCAGGAGAGGTTGGTACTTGGAGTCTGCTTTGTTTTGCTTCCTTACTTCTGCATACAGGTTTTCATGTGAATGCAAGTATCCAAAAATAAAACCAGTTTCCAAATCAATTATGGCAGCTCTTGAGTTTTATGCAAATAAGAACAATGACAATTTACTAACTGAGAAATATAAGTATTGACAACAAGCATTCACACCCAAATGTTAAGTCCATTGGATTTAACAAAATAGATTTACTGGCATTTGAAAGTACTATCCAGTATATATTATCTAATTCTTTGATACTCTAGAATATCAGTTTGGAAGAATTCAAGACTTTCTGCAAGTTTACAAACAACCTGGAAGACTTTTCTATTGCCATGCAGATGTTCACCGTAGCCAATCGTCCTGTTAAACGAGGTGAGTGCTCCACAGCTTCACAACTGTACTTTTTAAAAAGAAAATGATGCACTTTTCTTACAGAATTTTGTGCAGTGCAACACAATCATGGCTATGAAAAACACGTGAAGTATTTTTTAAACCAAAGAATTGAGGGAGAGAAGTTGTGTCTTTCACATGTAACAGACACTTAGGAGCAACGCAGGAAAATTTTTGTGGAAATACAAGTGTCTTTTGTTATGATTCTGAGGTTGGTACATAATTGTGATACTTGAAAGACAGCTCTCTTGAGTGTCATAACAAGATCCTTCTCCTTTTCTTTGTGTTCTTTTCAAAAAGGTGCAGTGCCATCTCTAGATTTATACTTAACATAAAGAGCTGAAACAGTTAACATCTTTTTAAAGACAAAATTAGGACTGTATGTAATGTATTTTGGGACCTTTTTAAATTGTGGTATATCCTTTTTCAAGAGGGTTTTCTACTTAATTATATTTAAATGAAATGTAAAGGAGTCAACTGCATTTACAGAGAAATTTTGAAAGAGGCAAAGATGAGAGATGAAGTGCTCTTTTTTCTAGTAAGCTTCAGAACTAAGCATATTTATATAATTAGTTATAAACATCATTTGCCTATGAAATCAGAAGCACAATATTGCTGTATTTATCACTTAGTGGGACAACTTGCTGTGATAATCTACAGTGCTACTCTAATGTAGTAACGTCACTTCCTCCTTGAAACTCAGACATCTGTGATGCCTTCAAAAATGCATCCCATTCATGTGGCAGAATGTGCTTGCAGTAATAATCTACAACCATTTCCCTCTTGCTATCTTCTGTTTTATGACAAACCCACATCTTTTCTTATTTTGCTTGAGGCAAAACTCCAAATTCTTTACACCACAAAATACTCTAGCTAGGATATCCACAGGACATTGTAAATTCTACAGAACGCTGCAATTTATGTGCTTTGTAATGCCTTTACAAGTTCAGTAATGTAATGATGTCATATTCTGTCTTCACTAGCTGAGTTCAAGAGAGCAGTAAAGGTGGCAACAGGACAGGAGCTCTCAGATAATATTCTGGATACCATCTTCAAGATTTTTGATCTAGATGGAGATGACTGCCTCAGCCACGGCGAGTTCCTTGGTGTCCTGAAGAAGCGAATTCATCGAGGTTTGAGGGTAAGAAGCTGATGACATCTATCATTCCCATTAACATACTTGTTTTTAATCACAGAATCACAAAATGGCCAGGGTTGGAAGGGACCTCAAGGATCATGAAACTCCAATCCCCTGCCACATGCAGGGCCACCAACCTCCTCATTTAATGCTAGACCAGGCTGCCCAGGGCCCCATCCAATCTGGCCTTGAACATTCTGGGCATCCTGTTCCAATACCTCACCACTCTCTCTGTAAAGAACTTCCTCCTGACATCCAACCTAAATCTCCCCTCCCTCAACTTAAAACCATTTCCCCTCGTCCTGCTGTCATCTACTCTTTTAAAGAGTTGACTCCCCTCCCCTCTGTAGGCTCCCTTTAGGTATTGAAATGCTGCAGTGAGGTCACCCCACAGCCTTCTTTTCTCCAGGCTGAACAAGCCCAGCTCCCTCAGCCTGTCTTCATAGGGGAGGTGCTCCGGTCCCCTGATCATATTTTTTAAATACCATAGATTATTCTTACAACTATCTTATTAATGTTTGTAGAAACACAAGCAGAGATAGTGAATGGAAAGAAATTATATTTTAAAATGAAGACTCTACTGCTTAAGAATCTGAGAGGAGTGCTGCCGTCATTGGTAATATACATGTGAGCTATGGGAGCAGCAGCATTGCTCTACATATTATATTTATAACACAATCCATGAGTGAGAGTCTTTTTCGTGTAAATGCTAAACATACTCTGATTTTATTAACAGGTACCACAACAGCAAGGCATTCAAGGGTACTGGAAGTGCGTGAAAAGAGAAAGCATTAAAGGAGCAAAAGAATTGTGGAAGCAAAGTGGGAAAAGTCCTTTTTAAAAGCGTCCATTATTGTTGGTTTGCTGTAAATGTTATGTAGGGATTTTTTGTCTGTCCTGTTTACATAATAGCTGAATCAAAAATACTCTTTTTTACTACAGCTGAACTAAATTAACCCAATATCTAATGAAAAAAAAAAATATATATATATATATATATATCGTTCTAGTGTAATCAGTTGGGTTTACAGAATTGTTATCACGTTTGACCTCCCTACAGAATTACTCTTGTTCTAGGGAATAATGCTATTTATTTTTTTGTGGAGTCTGACCCTGCACTGTGACCTCTGGGATGCATAGGATTTAATAGTGGCCACTGGCTGGAACATCCCAACAGTATCACCTCCTGTTGGAAGAGTGGTCATCATCTCATCCGGCCACTAACACAGCAGTTCTCTTTCCCTGGCAAAGACAGAAGTCCAAAAAGGGAAACCATTTGCACAGTCCATGCAAGTCAAGGTACCTGCATCAAAAACAAAATCTCACATGGCTTTGTGTTCCCACTACTGTGAGCTGCTTGTTGCTAGTTCCTGGCAGATGGTTCCACCAGGTCCAGGGTAGATGTCTGATTTGTCTGCCTTTGATGATAATAGCTTTAAACTGGAAATATAAGGCTGCTGATACAGGCTTTAAAAGTTACATGTTGATCTATGAATGTGTATTGAGACTCTCAGACCTCTTCAACAAACAGTAGAAACAAGAAGAAAAAATCCCCATCTTCATTCTATCATAAGCAGTGATTACACCTTGATTTGTAACTATTTTGCTTAACTGTAATGCAGAAGATAAATGTGTAACAAATCTTTACTTTGTGTTAGTAACAATTATGTCAGGGAATGCTGCAGTATCTCAAGAACTCAAGGTTATAACAAGCATTGGCAGGAATAATAGACGCAACAAAAAGTAAACAAATTGTTGATGACTCCCAAATTGCAAAGCTAGACATAAGATGTCAAACAATAAAACAAAAAGAAGGTAAAAATTAACATGAATGTTTTTCAGCCATATCATAGTGTGCTTCTCTGTATACACACATATGCATGGTACATGGGTTTTGTTTCTTACAGACTAAGGAGCCTGTAGTCACAGGTCCAGATCAGTGTTCCTCGTTGGTCACTGCATATAGGAGACAGACTTTAACACATAGAGCAGTCAGCATTGTCTGTTTTGTCCAGGCTGGGGTAAAGGCCTGACTTTTCAAGACAGGTTTGTTATAACAGACTCAAAAAACAAACTGGGTAAAACAACCAAGAAATCTCACCACTCTGCAGATCCCACCTAAGGAGGTTACAGGTAAGATATTTGGTATGTCAGTGGCCATCAGGCAAGCTCGTGCTAAGGAAGAGTCCTCCCAGGTCTCAGCACTCTAGAGAGAAGCAAACAAAGCAGCAGCATGCAACCACCTGCTACTCTATGCAGCATTCTCTTGGAGCTTTAATTTAAATTGTGTGAAAGAGAAAATGTTTTTCTTTGTGTGATCTGTAAGTATGCACCCAGTCTCGTCCACATGAACAGGAACGTGACTGTGGGTGCTCCAAAGACCTGTCTAGAAAATCAGGTACCAGTGACTGCTAAGGATGCCTCTGCTTCCATCAGGAACCTCTCAAAAATGAAATAAAATGCACCTAATGCCACTGCCTCTCCCCCTTAAGCTGAAAAGGCACTGCTCTGTGGGCAATGAGAAATCAGGCAGCTGTTTTCACTCTGTGCTTTTGGAAGCTGCTTATGATGATGGGAACTACGAGTAAGAGCTGCTGGGAGCAGACGTGGGGCAGCATGGAATTACCACAACCAGTTTAAGATCACTAAACAATTTTTTTTTTTAAAGGACAAAATCAAGCAAGACACTTCTGTATCAGAGAAGTGTGTGTGTGTTCCCCTACAGTGGGCGTTGTTCCAGCTCTGCTATAATACAAGGCAGCCTTTTACTTGTTGCTGTTCATATTTTGGCAAATTGTTTTTACTTTGGAACGGAGATGATTGTTTAACGATTTATTCTGTGAATTCTTAATAGGATTTTGATGTTCTACATTGCTTTTGTGGTTGTTTTTTGTTTTATTTTGTTTTGTTTACCAATGACACATCCTGCAAACTGTTTGGTTTTCTGTTGGAAAAATCAATTCATCTAGCTTTAGTGTATCTAGGAGTTTAATGCCTCATTGTTCATTCGTATCTGGGTTTGTGCAATCAGCAATATCTGCTTTTGGCAGCAAGTTACTAAAAATGGATTTCAAGTTTTATTTGTAAAGATCTGGTGTCCAGTTCAGAGGAAAAAGAAAACAGATACACTTATTTTAAAACAAACGTCATGTCTATAGTAAAATAGGAAATGGAATGATTACTTAGGAATTAAAATGCTATTAACATTTTCAGAAGAAACTATCCTGAAAGTACAGCCAGGAAGGAATTCCTCTGAATGCCAGGGAAGATTTGTCCGTTGAAAAATCAGGCTCTGTGTTTAATCTGTAGCTTATTTTTGTTTGTTTTCACCAAAAAGATTCGTGAAACAGTCTTAAAATCATTTCTCAGATAAAATATCTTAGACTGAAAGAGCTGTTTACATAAGTATTTAGACCGACCTTGTCTTATGAGGAATCCATTGTAGTTTTAATTTTTTTAAGTTCCTTTTAGTAACTGTATGGTATTTGCAAGCTGTCTGTCAACATTGCTCAACACCATTTATTTAAAGGTCTTGCCTACTGCCAAAGTGCCAATTAAGTGTATCAATTATGACTTTTTTAATCTTAGGAATCCTTCCTCTAAACAGAAATATACTAAAAATGAAATAAAATTAAATTTAAAAAAAAAAAACTCCAACTTTGCTTTTGAGTGTTGTTTGGATTAAAAAAAATAATATATTACATATTGTGGAGGTCTCGTAAACTGATTTAACGCATTTTAAAAGAATACAGAAGATGAGAACTGCCAGATAAAGGGCTGAAATGGGAACAAATCCAGAGAGTTAGAGGAAATATTTCAAAATTCTTATCTATTGTCCATACTTTGACTTAAGCATAGAGATGGATTAATAAATGTACATTGGAGTTTCAAATACAGTTTTCTTCTCATGGAAGAGTGCCAACATGTCTTGTGTCTTCAACCTTTCCTATTAAACAGTCACAGCAGGTCAGGAAACTATTCCAGTGAAGAAAGAAACCTTCAGTCCTGCTGAAGAGATGGTATGTATCCCAGTGATGTGGTTGTTATTACTGAGATCCATGCTGACCAGCCAACAGCCCCTCTAATGCCACTGGGCACAGAGGAAGCATGAAGGCAAAACCTGTGGACATAGACACATATTGTTAGCACCAGGCAGCCACAGAAATTCCTCCTAGAGAAACTGAAGATGTTGCCCAGCAAGAGGTGGAAAGGAAACCTGAGAGACTTGAGCATGTACAAAATTAATCCACAAACAAGCTTGCAGCTCCTCGCTCATTTACTTTCTGAAGGTTTCCTGCTGTCTTTGTTGATTAAACAATTCCTAGTTGGTTCAATAATGTAGAAATTATGCAGCATATGTGGAGACAGATTTCCCATTAGGCTGGTGTTGGCTCAGTTAATAAAGTTTTTGCTTCATTAACCAGAAGGCCATGGTGCAGAGCTCTCCTTACGAACCCCAGGAACTACGCTGTGGCTCATACACACCATCCTCCCAACACTGCCCAACCGTGCACCTACCTGTGTCGTGTCAGAAAGTGCACCTCATTCCTTGGAGAGCAAAAAGCTGTGCTTTTTCACACCCACGTGCCCAATTGGAAGCTTGTACTTTTGTTCCCTGCCCCAGCTGATGGTGGCCTGCCTTTCCTCACCAACTGTGATGTGGAAATCAAATCATAGAATGATTAAGGTTGGAAAAAAAAAACACTAAGATCATCCAGTCCAACCATCAGCACATCCCTAACATGCCCATTAACTGTGTCCCTCAGTGCCACATCTCCACATTTCTTGAATCCCTCCAGGGACAGTGACTCCAGGGACCGGGCAGCCTGTGCCACTGCCTCACCACTTCTTCCAATAAGAAATTTTTCATGATATGCAACCTGAACTTTCCCTGGTGCAACTTAAAGGGAGGAAGGCTGTGGGACACTCTGGCGAACTTAAAGATTGAAGTCTCTGGGAGTACACACACTGCATTTGGCAAAATGCGAGATTCACTTTGGCCTCATATCAAATGCTTCCAGACAGGAAAATTTGGGAGAAAAGAGATTCTGTAGTCAAAGCAGAGAAATGTGTGGGATTTCAGACACCAGCAAGTGCCAAAACATCCTCTGAAGAGTCTGTCCTTGTCATAGAATCATAGAATACCCTGAATTGGAAAGGACCCATAAAGATCATCAAATCCAGCTTCTGGCTCTACACAGGACCACCCACAAATCAGACCATATGTCTGAAGAGCATTGCCCAGACACCTCTTGGTCAGTGCTGTGACCACTGGGCCCAGTTCCAGGGCCTGACCACCCTCTGGTGAAGAACGTTTTCCTGATCTCCAACCTGACTTTCCCCTGATGCAGCCCCAGGCCGTTCCTTTGGGTCCTTCTCCATGAACTGCAGAGGGAGCACAGAAGATGAGCTTCACCAGACTTAACTTGTACTTTGGCAATGCCTTCTTTGTTCATAAGCTTTAATGGATCCTAAGTAAGAGTACTTGCATTTGGACTTTTTTTCTATAAATTGAAGTGCTGTTTTCTTGGAAGGGTGAAAGCTCTTAGAAAGGAACAGTTTTAAAGACTTGTCAATACAGTGTTTTGGTTTGGTTTTTTTTTCAGAGTAGTTTTTTAATTATGTGGCATCTTACTGTGTTTTAATCTAATTTGAAATTGATACTATTAGAAGGAGCACACATTACTAAAAAGTGTATGTCTCTTAAATAAACCACACAAGGTGGTTCCTAAAGCAATGGGAGCTGAGTGACAGGATAGCTGATTGTGTTCCCTGCTGAATGGGAAGGATAGCAAAATGTTCTGCAGCTGGTCTTTAGAAAAGAGAATCCAAACTATAATTTAGGAGACATGAACACGACCAAACAAAAGGATGCTAGGAAAGCAAGGAATAAATCAACACAGCTGAAATCAAATTTTTCAAATGCTGTTTGAACAAAACAAGTTCTTTGCAATTTAGGATTTGACCCAATGCAAACAAGGACAACTAATCACTCACAGTTAATGTATACAAGATTACATGAGCTGTACTGGAATGCAGAGAGCAAGTACTTGAGCCATCTCCTTTGGTTTTATGCACATATCAGAAATTAATCCTACAGAAATTGATTTGTTTATTACTGGGAACAAATAAAAAATATTCCTAATGAGCCACATTATTATTTTCCTCCACCTAAGAGGATGCTGGGTTGCTTCTGCCAGGTCATGGCTTGTTCCTAGCTCTCAGAGGAAAGAAACACTGAAGCAAAATTGAGATGAAATTATGAAGATGAAGGCTAAAGAGAACAATGAGAGCATCTGAAGGAGTGTTTGCTGTGTTTTGTTGTAGGGCAGCTTTCTGAAAGGACAGCAAATGTCAGTAGCTAGATTTTTTTTTTTTTCAATTAAAAAAAAAATGTTGTAAGGGGTGATGCAGTAATTTACAGTGCAATAAGTTTTTCCCCTTTTTCCCTGCTAAGTTGTGTGAACTGTTTATTGCAAACAGACCAGCAAACCTCTGGAAGACTGTGCAGGAGACCCCTGCCAGAGCAGAGGCTGCAAAGGTACATTTCGTTGTTCTCACAGAGATCTTCATGTAGGTATTTCACAGGGCATGTGAAATGGACCAGGGACACTTGGGTTTTGCTTCTTGACAATTATGGGATGACCTCACATGAGCTGTAGTGCAGTGCTTCACAGCCAAGCAGACACACAGTCACTTCTAGCAGAGCTTGCTTCCATTCTTGCTAGCATCCATTTAAGGAGTTCTTTTCTGCTCAGGAAGTCAGAGTAGATACATTCCAGATGGCTCTGAGAAGTGGAAGATGTTATTCCCTGAGCCAAGGGTCCTTATGCAGTGCAATTCCTCGGGTGGGAGCACACATCCAGGACAAGCAGCCCTCCCAGTGCCTCCCAGCGTTGTCAGCATCTTTCTTTGATTCATTTCTATTTCAGTTCCTCTTAGGATGGAAACACTGCACAGAAATGTTGCTGGCAATAGCTGGTCAAAAATCATCTCTCACAGGCTTATACAGCTGTCACTGGCTTTGTAATTCATATTCACTATTACAAAGGTTACGATATTATTATGAAAGTCGCGGATGAAAGCAGTGTCAGAGGGCATTAACAGCAGCCACAGGCTCAGCACAAGCTGGTTGTAGTTGCACTTCCCCGGAGATGCATTCTGGCTCATTCCCAACGATGATGGTGTGGCACTCAGGGCTCAGTGCAGGATGAAGAGCACACATGCTGTGAAGTTGCTCACTTCCAAAAGTGGTTGATTAGACAAATATTCACACTGTATGTGCATATCTTCCTTGTAATTCAAGTTCCAACAGCCCTGTACCCAAGACTACCAATAGGGTGATGCAGTGTTTTATATCCCACTGCTGACAGTTTTATATTCCATAGCTTACACCCCTCCTTTAATAAGGAGGTCACCATCCCAGTGACCCTCAGAAAACAGCACCTCTCTAATGTATTGCCCATGAGAAAGAAACGAATTCTTTACAAGAGTCGGGGGAGGATCAGGTTGAGAGTTAGGAAAAGGTTCTGCACCAAAGGGCAGTGGGCATGGAACGGGCTGTCCAGGGCAGTGGGCACAGCCCTGAGCTGCCAGAGCTCAGGGAGCATTTGGATACTGCTCTCAGACACAAGGTTTGATTTTGGGTGATCCTTTGTGGAGCCAGGGGTTGGACTCGATGATCCTTATTGGTCCCTTCCAACTCAGGATATTCTATGACACTATGATTCAAAGTAAGCAGCCAACCATTGGTTCGATGTTTCCATTGCCAGTGGCTATGCTTGGTGCAATGAACAATGAACAACTGTAGATTTGTGACTTTGATAGCTAAGAGGTATTTTCTGCTAGTTTGGCAGCCACTTTTGCCTCATGCTACTTTTGGGTGTCTGACACTGCAACAGATAACCACCCACGGCATATTACTGTTATCATATATGGGACTCAAAATTCCTCCCATTTTCTTTAGCTTAGCTGCGAGCATTTCAACACCAAACAAATATAGGACAACAGAATGTCACTGTGTGCTCTTCCCACAGTGTTCACCAGGTAGTCAGCGTGCCAGACAGTGCCAGGTGGTTGGTACGGGAGGGACGTGCTCTGGGCATAGAATCAAGGTTGGAAAAGGCCACTAAGATTGGAGGTTGGACTCAACCATCAACACATCCCCACTAACCACACCACTCAGTGCCACATCCCCACGTTTCCACATCCAGGGGCAGTGACTGCCCACCTCCCTGCGAGCTGTGCCACTGCCTCACCACTCCTCCTGATAAGAAATTTTTCCTAACAGCCAACCTAACATCCAACATAGTTCAGAAAAATTCATTTTCAACACTCCAGTTCCCAATTTCATCCCGTATGTTACACGATGAACAGCAGTTGTTTGGTACTCAGTGGCTCAAGCTAACCTGTGCCACACACAGGCTGACAGAACTGTGCCCCTTCGCTGCTACTGTGATGCGAAGCTACCACACAGACTCAGCACAGCTGCCCCACGCTGCGCTCCCAACCAAGCCCCTCGTCGATCGGTCGCGTTTATTCGCTCATTTTTTGCTCTCAGCCGGCCGACCGCACGCCGTGAGGAACCCGCGTAACCTCACAGCGCCGAGCTGCAGCGCGGCCGCCGCCAGGTGGTGCCGCAGCGCCGCGACAGACGGCCGCGAGTGGACGGCGGGCGGGAACGGGGCCGCGACCCGAGGCCGTGGCAGCGCCCTGTCCGGGGACGGCGTTCACGTCCTTCCCGGTGGCGGATGGCGTCGCGCTTTGGATTCGGGGCGAGAATAACGCCGACGTCGCAGAGCGGAGCTGCGCAGAGTTCAGCTTCTCGAAGCGCCCTGCCGGGAGAGGCGGCAGGTACGCAGGAGCTGGGAGGGGCAGGACCAGCGCGGCCGGCCAGAGGGATCCCACGCCGTGCAGGGACAGCGGCCGGGGCCGCCGCGCAGGGACCGCCCCGTGAGCCGGGCAGGACGCGCGCTGTCCGGGCTCCGCCGCCCGGAGGCAGAAGGAGGAGGAGGCGGCGGGCGCGGGGCCGCCCATCTCCCGCCCACTGCGGCCCGCCCAGGGCCTGCCCGCGCCGCCCGGGGCCGGCTCCGCAGCGGCGGCAATTGCTGCAGCCGCCGCCCGTGCAGCGCCGGCGCCGATGCCTCGTGCGGCGGCCGCGGGGGGAAGATGGCGCCGTCCCACGTCCTCAAGTGCTGCCAGAGGGTGCTGGCCTGGGTGCCCGTGGTCTTCATCGCCCTGGTCGTGGCCTGGTCCTACTACGCCTACGTGGTGGAGCTGTGTGTGTGTGAGTGCGGAGACGGAGGGCGGGCGGGCCGAGAGCCGGGCGGGGGGACCCCGCGCCGCCCTCCGGGGAGCTCTGCAGCGCGCTGCGGCACCGGGCAGCGCCGAGGGCTCACTTCTCCCTCGGGCGTTCGTTCGGAGCGCTCTTGTTCTCTCCCCCTCCCCCCCGGAACCCCCAGCCCGGGGCCGTCCCTGGAGCCGGGTTGACCTGGAGGGCGGGAAGGGGTCCCGGTGGGCTCTGCCCGCTCTGAGGCGCCTGATGGCGGCGGAGCCCCGGGGAGGGGTCGGGGGGCTCTGGAGCCCGGGCGGGATCTCCGTCTCACAGCTGCGGCTGCTCAGGCGGCGTTTCCCCCTATGCTTTCTATTTCGCTCGCTCTGAGCCGGTCTGGAACTTCCTCGCGTACCCGACAACAACTTGAGCCCATTGAGTTGTATTCCCCCCCCTCTTTTAATTAACGTTGCCGGGGTCCGGTGTCACGGAGGTGTAATTAGGCTGAAAACATCCTCCCTAAGCGGGATTTGGGGCTTAGGGGTTTGTCGGGCTGCGTCAAGGCTGTGGTGATGCCTCGTGGAAATCTGATTTGTGGTCGGTGTCAGTCAGGATGATGCGTACCCTGTTCTGTCTATAGGAGGAAATTAAGTCTGCTTCGGGAGGATGTTCACCCACACAGGGGAATGGAGACGCACAGGGATGTGCGGCTTTCACCGGCCTTGCTGTGGTTTGGTAGCAGTGTAGGAAATCTAAGAAACGCATCATTTGGTGCTCAGTGTTTTAAAGTAAGAAAGGTGGAATTAAAAGGTAAAATATACCACAAAAGAGTGAAGAACTATTTCCAGCAGTGTACTTAGGTGTGCTTTGGTCCATATACTTCTGTTTCTGTGAAATGCTTGCTTTCATAGCTCAGACTTGAAATAAAGAGCTTGAATGTACTTTGATGAAACCTGTAAAGATATTTGTTCTTTGGAAATAATCAGAATTGTTTGTTGCAATCCTTAGTTTTCGGGCAACTTCTGAAATTCTGTCTCTCACGACCTTTCTGTTAACGTATGTGGAATGGCACGTAGCGTAAGCAGCAAGCAAAATGTTGTTTGGACATAAAGTAGTAGAAATATAATTCTAAAGGAGTGCTTACTAAGGTATTACATGGAATGTTGACATGAAAGAGTTGCAAATATGTCATTGCATCCACATGTGTCAGATTGCTGTGGTTTAGTAGTCCGCTTGTTTGAGTAAATAGTGCTGTTATTTTGGGGAAATAGGGCTTACAACTATAAGCACTTGGAACCAGATTTTAGATAGTCTCTAATACAGGAGGCTTGGGGCATGGATTTAAAGCAGTGCTAAGGGGACTGTGTCGGGTTCTAGACTTATATTTTACAGATGTGATATGAAGTCCAACATGATGAAAGGCAGACCAGGCGAATATGTTTCTTCTCATCAATAAAGAACAGAAATTCAAGAGCCAAAGTGACTTGCCCAGGGTTGCACTGGTGCTCTCTGGCTGAATCAGGATGGGTCCTTCGTCTCCCAAGTCCCAGCTCTGTGCCCTAATCACAAAGTGGGTCAAGGCTGGATGCTGCTGAGTAATTTTGTCCAGAGATAAATCTTTGACCCCCATCTAATGGAAGACCTTTGCAGACACAGAGAAGCTGCAGACTCCTTCCAAATTCAGTAGGATTTCATTTGTGTGCAAACAGTTGAAAAGGCTGGCTCCTGTTTATGCAAGAACTTTCACATCTATAAACCTGATTTCTAGATGTCTGACGCTTGCAAATCAACTTTATTCTCAGTGTCTGCAGATACAGGCTATTAAGAAAAAGTGGTCATTCAGTAAGAAAATTACCTATTGATTTTTATTGCTGTTTTTGAATCCTACAGTTGTTTAATGTCAAAGTGATGGTTGGTGACCAAGATTTGTTTTTCTATGACTTTTTTTCTGATTGATTTAAAATATATATTATTCTCGCTTTTAACCTTCTGTAGAACTTTGTTTATGCACCTGATGAAAATTCATCTCAAAGGACAGGAAAGATGTATTTCAGGCATTTTATGAGGTTTTGGGTTGTTCCCCCCTTTCCCCGCGATGTTCTTCTGTTACCCTGTTTGGGTTCCAGCATAGAGAGGATTTAGAGCATAGCAGAGTTTTCTGTTCCTCTTGGCAGGTATGTTTACTTTCTCCCTGTACTGCATGTTTTATTTTGGTTTGAAAACTACTGCAGTGTGCACTATGAAGCAAGGACTTGCCTTTAATGCACTGCTAATGAATGAAGTGGCAGTCTCAGCATATGTGCCCATACAGCAGGTGCAGAAGTGGGGCTTATGGCTTGTTGTGCATCTGGGTGAGGAAAGACAGATGGAAGAATGAAAGTTCTGTAAGGGAGGAGATGAAACAGATCAAGTAAATACTGAGAGTAAAACAGAAATTAGAACCACCTAGGAGTCAGTGTTTTTTCCCAAGGTCATTGTTAAAGGTTAGCAAATTGTTAAGATCTGACGCGAGCAAGGAAACAGGAAGAAAGAAAGGCTTTGTTCTCCCCAACTATTTCTTCTAACCTGTTAGAGTATGTTGTTTTTTTTTTCCTCAAGTCCCAGCCATGTATTAATGGTTAAACATATGTATTCAGTTCTTCTACTGGGAAGCCAAGATTAATGCAGTAACATAAAATACTCTTAATCAAAGTAAAAAATGGTTGTAAAGCTGGGATTGCTTCCTTTTTCATGTCACTCTTTCAGTTTTGCTTCACTGTAGAACTTGCCCCACCCTCCTGCACTGGGACATTCCCATATTGCTCAATGTCCTGCTGCTGGTGGCTGAAGGCCTTGGCCCTGCTCTGTAATTCACCACTGGCATGTATTTACTTGGCTATGCTGCTTTTACAACCATGAATTATATTACTTACATACTGCCTGTGAGCACCGGGAAGGAGTGGTGTGGGTGAGGTGAAAGGAGGTTCTCAGCATGAGCTATTCTGTTGTTTTCCTCTGTAGAAACTGCCTGCATTGGTGCATTTCTCTGCAGCATTCCTGGGCCAAACTGGTGAATGCTGGCTGTTTGAGCCTCTGCTGCTGTGTAGCTGTGATCCATGTGGTAATCTGGCCAACTGGAAAGATGGCAACAGCCATTTCTCACCAAATTTGTGGAAGTTCAGGGAGCTGTTTTGGAAAAACCCTGTGAATGCACATAGCTGAAGGAAATGGAAAGGTAATGGATCTGAGCCTTCACATCCCACTACCCTGCTGTGATGCCTGCGTTGTTCTGCAGCACAGCTGGAGAAGTCACAGTGCAAACTGTTGCCATTCACAATAAGTCTCCCTCCAACCCTGATGGAGTAGCAGTATTAAACGCCAGCGTGCCAGGCTGGCAGCAAAGTCTTGTGGCTTTTTTTTATTTTTTCAATTGGTTGGAAACAGAAGTGCTGAGGTACTAACAGGCTGACTCCTGTTCTTACCCCTGCCATCAAAATGGTTCCAAAGAATGTTTATCAATAAGGTGATAGGCGCTTTATATATAAAAATATATATATTAAAAAAAAGCAAACTCGAGGCAGCGTCTTATTCAGATTTTCTTTAAACGCTTTAAATTAGAAAAGCATGAATTAGTGTTTTCTTAGTAGATTGTTCTTTTCTTTCTACGTATAACTTGCATGGAGCTCTGTATACAAGAAAACACACCTAGAAATACATAGTGGATGCTGCAAAATGGCTTTTCATTAGTTTAAAACCACTTATTGTTTTCCTTCTCGTTGTCAAAACATGTTTTGCTTTTAACATTGCCTTCGTAAACAGTGGTGGTATTATATTGTTAGTGAATTGAACTGATTCTTTCTGCTTACCACGTCCCCTTGGAAGGTCATGCTCAGCATGACCAAACCTCTTCTCATGGGGCTCATTTCACTTTTGGGTGACTTGCCTCTCATTGCCTATCCCCACCATTCTCCAAACCCTTTTGTAGGTGAGCAGCTTAAATACCAACTGGCTACACGTTGATTAGAAGTCACTGTTCTGATGTACACAGCAGAAGCTGGTGGTAAAGCCAGGCTGTTTCATACAGGCACCCCTTTTTTACTAGAATGCTTGCAGAATTTGGTAGTACAGTCTGCACAGAGAAAAAGAGAAAGATGTTAACTTTGGCTAAGTTGCCTGCAGATTGTAATTAAGGTGTGTTAGCTGGCCTTATTTAAAAAAAATAAACAGCTTGTTACAGGTAACATTTTGTTTCTATAGCTAAAATTGTGCGTTGTCATCCTGGCTCTTCTCCTGGGTGGGGTTCTAAGGAGAACTGCTTGTTTTATGAGCATACGAGTCTTGTATTCGTGTTTCCGTGCTTGGAACACCTCAAAGTCTGGAAGGCTGTGACTTCTGAAAGATGTGAGAGTAAATTATTTTGTCTAGTTCTTAACATCTAGTTGCTGAGCACTTTGCTTTTTTAATGTCTAATATGTCTCGAATCTTGGTAAACAGCAGTTTGTCACTTGGAATTCATAATTTAGTGGTGCACATTTAACTCCTTCACTGTTGTAATGACTGCAGTATCCCTTTTAAGCAGGAAGATAGCTCTGATTTCCCCAAA